TCGCAAAATCAGCAGCCCGTGGCATTTTTTAGCCGAACTTTAAATCAAACACAAAGAAACTATTCCGCGACCGAGAGAGAGGCACTTGCAGTTCTGTTAGCAGTGCAAAAGTTCCGAGTCTATTTTGGAAAGGCGCCAATAACAGTGTACTCTGATCATGCGGCGGTAACTAGATTGTACTCAGGGAAAAATTTATCCCCAAGGTTAATAAGATGGGCACTCAAGCTGCAAGAATATAATCTGGTAATCAAGCATACCCCCGGAAAGGAAAATATCGTAGCAGATGCCCTATCAAGAATTAAAATAGATGAACAAGGTAATACCTGTAAAGGTGGCAATGCTCACAGCATGTACAATAAATTCCCGAGAAACTGTAATAACCGAACTGGGTAAGGATCCTGAGTTTGGAAGCATTTATGAGTATTTGAAGGATCCTGAAAATTTTAGCCACCAAGATATTGTGGCGATAAGAAATAGGGCGGCCCATTACGAACTAATAGATGGTCTATTATTCTATACAAAAACTACGAATTCCAACAACGAATTTCGACCTGTTATCCCAGCTAGTCTTAGATTAAATATCCTGCAGGAGCTCCATGACAGCCCTTTAGCTTCTCATGCTGGTATTCGAAAAACTATCCAACGCGTACGCGAGGCAGTCTACTTTCCTGAACTGCAAAAGTTAACAAGGGCGTATGTCCAGTCCTGCCCAACATGTCAAGCAGTTAATTATATTAATTTCCGCCCGGCCGGGTTTCTAAATAGTATTAAATCCGAATTTCCAAATGAAATAATTGGCATCGATTTATTGGGCCCTTTCCCAAAAAGTCAGTTAAATAAAAGTCGCTATCTCCTTGTTATGGTTGATCATTTTAGTAAATGGACCGAAATTGTTCCCTTAAAACGAGCCTCCGCGAAATTAGTTACTGATTCTATTTTAAATAAATATATTTTAAAATACGGGGCGCCCCTAAAAGTTATATCGGATAATGGTCCTCAATTTGTAAGTAATATATTTGAAGACATGTGCCAAAAACTGGGCATACGTCATTTAAAAATGGTCCCGTATCGGCCGCAATCAAATATAGCGGAACGGGTCAATAGAAATATAGTGAAAATTATCCGTAGTTATGTTAAAAATTTTCATAAAAGCTGGGATAACTATGTCAATGAATTTGCTTTCGCCCTTAGGACCGCAAAACATGATACAACGGGCAAAACTCCTGCTGAGTTATTTCTAGGCAGAAAGATTATAACGCCGTTAGATGAATTATTTTCTGTGCAACAAAGAGCCCCAGAATTTAAAATGGGTGATATAGAAAAACTAATTAAAGAAGCAAAGAAGAATACGGAAGTAGCACAGAGAAAACAAAAATTATATTATGACTTGAAACGACGGGGAGTAACTTATAAAGTAGGGGATGAAGTTTTAAAAATTAAGCATTCACTTTCTTCAGCACCAGAAGATAAGACTGCCAAATTTTTTCCACGATTTGAAGGACCATATGTTATAGAAAAAATAACTCACGCTGTAGTAGTGTTAAAAGCCAGAAATGGTGAAACCTGCTCCGCAAACATTGATCAAATCAAACCCTACTATGATCGTAATAAAATGCAAATATTTTCAGATCTTTTGCAGGATCCGGCACGGCAGACACCGCAGGAACAAGCTCCAGAGGTGGAAAAACGACAAGGGCAAACCATTAAGAGGCAGGAGCAAGTGAAAAGAAAATTGCCCCGCGGAAAAATTGAAGGTAACAAGAAAAAGAAGCCGTTCCACCGTCCAGAAAAGAGAGTTCACGAACACCCCCAGAATGAAGAAGGGAGAAGGACGACGTATGTGAAGAGAACCAGGAGAAATGACGGCAACTATAACCCGGCTCTAAAACGGAAGATCTACTCATCCGACAGGACTCTCCGCAGCAAATGTCGCCGAACTGCGGAAGGGCCATCAGCGGCGGAGGAAAAGTTACAAGGAAAATTTGAACGGCCAGCAACGAGGTCCAAGCAGGAACACGACAGAAGTTTCCCGGTTCCGCCAAGACCAGCTGCCATCAAACGGCCAAGACCACAAGCAGAGGGAGAAAAAGAAGGTATTCAAGGGTGACCGAACTGGTGAAAAAAGGAAGCTTCCAGAGGAAGGCACTGAAGGGCGAGCCCGTACAAGAAGGAGGATAAATCAAAACTACTATCTGCGCATACCTTTTAAGGACTGGGCCCAGAAAAGGATGTCCGAATATCACAAAGATAAGTAAAATTTTATGTTACTTTGCTTTGCAAACTTAAGTTAATCTTTCATTCTTACTGCAAGTGGCAGATTTCAAGAAGTTTTACCTCATGCGAGGTCTACCTTTATCGCCAAAAGGGCGAGAAATGAGTTGTTACCGATTTTGGTATTATGTTTTTCAATTACTCGCGCGTAAAACTAAAGTTGATGTATAATAGCGTTGTGTAAAGACTTAAATATTGTAAAAAGTTATTGTATAAATTTTATTTAAAACATTCTAGCAAGAAAGAAGTTTTAGTCTGAAAGACTTTTTGAAATGTAGTATTTCAATGTAGAAAGAATTGGCACTTGCTTTGAAAAGAATAGAAGTTAACAATGTACTACTAATGTATGTTTTCAAATGTGTAAAATTAACGGCATGTTGATATGTTCTTATATACAATGTGAACTGTTATTTTAAATGTTAAGAAATACCGTGATATGGTAAAAGTGAAATGTAATGTTTTTTTTTTTTATTCGTGTGACTGTAAAAAGACTAAATCATGGTGAATATGTGTTAAAGGTTGAATGATGTAGTTAGGCTCTCTGACGCTACACTTCAGAGTTAGCCACTTTCAGAATAGTACCTCAGGGTTTAGAGTTGAAATTAGGGTGTGTTTACGAGGTCTTGGTATGTTGAATTTTAACACGTTAGTGTTTTGATTGTAGGAGGAAGTGTTGGAACACGTAGACAGAAACACATTCGTGTTTGGTGTTCTTTTACAACACATGTCAGAGAGCACGGGGAGAGATAATTAAAATAGTCATGAATGAAATAAGAATGTTAAGAGAAATAATTATACATGTTACTTGCCATTTCATTGTGTAACATTTCATTAAACTAGTTTTCCTTCCAGATCTCTGGAAGGAACCAGAATTGAATAAAAGCTCCTGTTTAGATGCAGTACAGATGAAAAAAATTGTGTATCCTGGGAGCTGCTATTGTAAAAACAAATTTCTTTCTTTTAAATTTCTAGTTTCTAGCGAAAATGTTTGTAAAAGATTGGCCTCGCGTTAGATTCTAGAGCTAAAAGTTTTCAACAAGGTCGTTTTAGACCTCAGTTTCAAACTAATTAACTCTGGCGGGAAGTATGTAAGGATCTTAAGTTTTACTAACGTTTATTTTATTTTAAATCTTTACTATCACTTCTTATTTTCTACTTCCGGCCAGAATTATAAGCGTTAAGGTTTTATGCAAAGTTTGTCTGGCGAACGCCAAGTATTTAAGTTGTGGCTTTTTGCCAAGCGAGAGAGAGGAAGCAGTGAGTCGAAGCAGGCCGCTTACCTTAGAAGTTTTACGCAGTTGCTGGTTGCCTTCCAGGCCAGAGGTTTTAATCCTCTTGATAAATTTTAAACGTATTGTAGTGTTCACAGTTCTCTGTACTACATACGCTTCCTGTTAATATAAGGCCAATCTTCCACGTTTATTATTCTAAAGTTAAATTAGAGTTTAGTTTTATTTTTATACTTTTACGTTTTAGACCCCAAGTAGCGGGTCTTTGTATTCCGAAGTACGGAAGTTCATTGTAATAGAGAAAAATAAAGGGTTTTGTATACCCTTCTTGTGTATCCTGTTTACTTCCCACAGTTTTGAACATAGCTTTAGTAAGCTCTCTGTTCCGAGTCAGGTCCTTGCATGTTCCCGAAGAAGGTTAGAAGGAAAAAAGTGAACCTGATAACTTCAGTTATTTAGTAGTTGTTTAGAACTGTTGTCGTTTACTGTAGCGAATTCGCGGTGAAATTGGATTAGCTTTCTCTGTTTTGAATTAAGTTCTGTTGAACGTTTTAATAGTTTAAAAGATAACTACTGTGAGATATTGAAATATCTGTGTCGCTGATTGTTTCAGCGTGTTTATAGTTGTTCAACGACTATAAACGTGATTTTGGAGCTGTCTTGAAAAATACTGGTTAATAAATTGTGTTTCAATACTTCATCAAGTGTCGTCATTATTCCTTCCAAATCCAAGAACCCGAGCAGTAACGTACGTAAGAAGGAAAAACGTAACAATATTTTTCGTTCTTCAGTTTGTATATATACGCAAAAGGAATTCTGTAAAAACATGCAGTGCAAGTTCCTGTATTTGTTACACTTTCTTACAAAACTTACAAGCGCAATTTAACTTTTAAACGTTGATTTCAGAACAACCAAAATGACATTTATAGCAAATACCAGTATCAAAAATTAACAAAAAACTGAGCACTTATCTGAAACAACTGCTTTTCGAAATTTACTCATTTAAGAATTAATTATTGAGAAGTAAGAAATTCTAATCGATTTTATCGATACAAGAATCCATAATCCCTAATGAACAATAAACATTTAAAGCATTGTTATAATTTTAATGTAATTTACATGAATGCCAAAGTGAAAATTTTTTGTCATGTGTACATTTGTTTGTGTCATGTGTCAAACTTGAAGCACTTTATTACTGTGTAAATATGATCTGTTAACTTGCATTTCTGAAAACAAATTTATTCTAGATGTAAATAGGTAGAAATAATAGTTTATGTGCATAATATGTAAGTTATTAATTTTGCAAAATTGATTTAACTCTCTCATGAAACACAAAATATAGTATTCTTATTTATATTTGTGAATCTATATGCTTATTTCTCAAAGTGCAAGAGTCTTATGCCCTTCTGCAGCTATATTAATATGCAAATACCGTTATTTCATTTCTTGCAAACTTCAGTTTTTTTTAAGTGGATTTCTAGGAAAAATAAGCAAAAATAATTTGCAACTAAACATTCAGAATTAGTTTTATTTCAGTTTTATTAAAATAAATATGCTACATGCATTATGAATGCTGATTAACAGAACTTCCTGTAACATGCAAATTTATTCTAAATGTATGGAAATTAATTCTATAAATATGTCGCAGTTTATTCTATTGTAAGGTATTAAAATTTTGATCGTGCGAAACTCATTTGTATATTTTATGAAAGGACGAAATACACTATTTTTATTTCTGTGTTTTTGATTCCTTATGCATATTTATTTAAATATATAAATCTTAAATGTTCTGCTGCGTCTAATGTGGAATGTAACTGTTACTTCATTTATTGCAAATTGAAATTTTTTAGGTGTTTTCTAGAAGCTCCAGGCATAAATAATTTGTAAATATGCACTGAATTAATTTTATGTCATTTATATTAATATAAATATTGTCATTATGCATGTTGATGACAGCATTTAAATTTATGTGAAAAGGAATGAATTCACTTGCTATAATGGTACAGTAATTTCAATTTGTCTAATATATAGTGCATTAAAATTTGAATTTTGTTTCAGTTTCTTATCTGTAATTTATTTATTAATTATGTGAAAATAAAAATACTAAAAGTTCTTGATAAAGCCTAGATTATTCATATGCTTCTGGTTGAGGTAATCGTTGCAATAATCCCTTAGTGCCATCAATGAGCACAAAGTCACCTACAAAAATAATGTTATCCATTAGAAACAAATAATACAGTAAAAATTAGTATAAAAATAAAACATTACATACATACAGCGGTATCATGAATTATACTTCTTTTCAAGTCATGCTAAGATAAGTATAACAGATACATTTGAAATAAAAAATAAGACAATCAAGAAAATTTTCGGTTTAAAAAACTATGGAATAATTATAATTATGAATAATCTGTTTATAAACCTTAGTTGTAGGAAGGGGGCAAAAATATTAGATTTTAAATGCAACTGTGCCATATGCATTTGTGATACAATTTTGAGTTGTAACGGTCTGGCATATCATAGATACTGTATTCGATTGCAGACGAGTTCACAATGAATTTTTCAAGATTTCAGTTCTTAACTCCTTCCTTCGCTAAGGAAAATAACATATTTGTCACTTTCAGAAGGTAATATTTTGTTTATTATAGTACTGTAATATCTGTCACAAATATATAAAAACTTCAGATTTGTACCAATCAGATATTGTTTGTTCTTGATTTTAAAAGAAAACTCAATTAAACGTGGACTATAAACAATTTGTTTCAGAGGCCAGCAATGCAAAATTTCGCAAGCAAATAACAAATATTTCGTTTGTTAATGCCATTTCTCGGTGCTGTAATGGTCAGAGAAAAAGACTTGATATGCAAAGATTTTATGAAAAAAAGTATATTTTAATGGGAACATAACTGAACAAAATACAACGAAGGCTCAAAAAATAAACTTAACATTTTTTAAAATTAAATAGTGTTTTGAAGTCTGTTCCTTGCGAAAGTCATAATGCCAGTAGAATGGTGTAGCACCAGGGTGCCTGAGTTAACGTGAATCCTACCCCTTGTAAAACAAGTAAGTTGTTTCGAATAATGTTCGAGAAATAACTGAACAGAAAACTACGAACTTAGATAAGTTAAAAATAAACATAAAAATTAACCTAAAAAGATTAAGTAAAATTTAGACAAAAATAATTAATTTAGGCAACTACTCTAATAACTACAAGTCAGGAAAGCCGTCGAACTGGTGAACAAGACGTAATGATTACTCCGGAATTTTAATCTCTTGCGGCAGATTCCATAAATTTCTGGACAGCTTGTAGGCTGGAATTCGCTTTTTCAAGGAAGTTGGTGCTCTGAAACAACCTGAAAATTTCTAACAGGGTTTTGAAGAATTCCTGAAATTTAGAACCAAAGATCCATGAGATTATCTCCTCTAAAGCACTAGTGCGAAAGTCATAATACCAACAAGCCTTTACACACTGATTCAGTTTGAGGATATAATATACCCACAATGCGGATAATCTACGAAGTAATTTTAATCTTTTAATGCCTTTTTAATACTGTCTTTGATGCTACCCTCGAATAAAATTTAAATACACTACATGAAAAGACGAATAATAAAAACTAGTTGTGCTTTAAAAAAGTAAGCAAACGTTACCTGTTTGAAATTGCCTCGTTGCTCCATGAAGACCGACAACACAAGGCAGACCATATTCACGACTTACTACGGCACCTACAGAAAGAAAAGAAAAAGTAAAACCATAAATTTTGTCTATGTCTCTTTGCATGTTTAACAATATATGCATGCAATACAATATTAAAAGCTCAAGCAGTAAAATAAAAGAATTTATAACTATTGCCTATTATATCAACACCTTTACGTCTTCAATCACTAAACACTGCGAAAAACATTCGAAAACGCAATGAAACCTCTCTAAAATGATCATTTATTGTTCTATGTTATTTTGATCTTCATTCATATTAGAGATACGATGTTCAATATCAAAAATGATTTATGTCCTTAGAGTTAGTCATCTTAGAGAGGTGAGCACCTCCAAATGGTTCAAATTTTTCCATCCATCTAGAACAGGGCTTCTCAACCAGGAGAGAATTCCCAATGAGGAGAATAACATACTCTCAGGAAGATAGATATTTATTTAGCCGTTAAGTATTTATCAATATTTTTTATAACAATCAATATTTTTTTATATCTTTTTTGTTGTTTAATTTACAAAAACAGGGGAAAATCAATCTAAATCGAAATAAACATAATATGTATTTTTTGAGTTTGGCAAAGGAGGGAAGAATGATCTTGTAGCAGAGATAAAAGTGATGCGTGAAGCAAAAAATTTAAAAAACCACTGTTCTAGACCATTGAACTCAGCAGTAGACACACCTCCTGACAGATTTAAATCTTTTAGTTCCGTTGTATTTCTTAGTAAGAACATCAAATTTGCTTTATTCTATCGGATGAAAATAATGCAAGATAACGCGAAAAATACTACATTCGATAAACATACCTCGCTACAATGAACTTCAAAGGCCGGAAGTTTGATTCGCTATAACTGGTGATTCGCTATATTCGATCCGATAAAGAAAATGGATTATGACATAAAACGTGTAAAAACTGAATTATGAATTAAAAAACTGATTAATATTGTCACATCTACTAAAAGAAGTGAATAATACATCCAATTCTAAAAAATCATATTAAATTTTAATTACTATTGTTATTATGCACAGTTATTAAATTTACAGGTTGTTCTTTTCCGGTGTCAATACACTAACTTTGAGAATCTGAAAGATTTAATAGTTACCGAGCAAATTAAATATAGGGTTCCAATGGAAGTAAAGAATAATTTTCTCGACAAAGGGATGAAATTAAAAACTCCAAATTAAAAATGCTTGTGGGCCTTTGCCAGTGACACGTTCAGGAAATAAGTAGCTTGTAACTTCAATCTGCATGTCTTCAAAATATTCGGATGCAGTTCCTGACACAAATCTTTGTTCAACCACGATTGTTGATGTTTTCCTTTTAGTCGAATTTTTAGTCGAATGGGATTTCCAAAAGAAATGCACACCGACCAAGCTATACCTTATTGAGTGCGCTGACATCGAATTTCATAGAAAAATTCGGAATTAAAGTTGTACGAAGTTCTATTTACCACCCACAAAGCAATCCTGTAGACAGAATGTATAGAAATTTAAAAAGAATTCGAGTTCTATGTCTAGAATATGGTCCGGATTGGGATAAAATCTTATCTCAATCTTTATTTACTCTTCGAACCACTATTCATGACAGTACAAGTTTCTCGCCAGCAAAATTAGTTGACGGCAGAAACTTAAGAAGTACATTTATGCTATTGTAGAAAAAATTATCTGGTAAAGAACAGGAAGAAAATACTGTAGAAAACTATGTTTCTGAACTAATGAATGGAATGAGACGATGTCAAAAGCTCGCTATCCAGCATATGAAAGAAGCCAAAAAAAGGCAAAAACTCAGGTATGATCGCAAAACCATAGAACGTAAATTTCAGGAAGCAGACTTAGTTCTAGTTATTGCTCCTTCGAAGCCAAACAAATTATCACTTGTGGGTAGGTCCTGGAAACATCGTTCAACAATTATCAGAGACAAATTATGTAGTCGAGTTTCCCGAGAAAAATAAAACTCAGGTGTAGCATATTAATACGCTGAAGAGCAGAAAATATAAAATTGTTATGTTTAAAAGACAGGATTAATGACTATGAAGATGAAATATTGAGTCTAAATTATAGCTTAGATACTGAAATGTCTGAAGTTTTGCAAGGCATCCAGTTGAATTCAATATTATCTGAAGATCAGGGAAAAGATTTAAAATAATTGATATACAAGTATTCCTGTTTTATCGCTAATGAACCAGGATGTACTGACTAAGGTCAGTACATCCTGGTACTGACCTTAGTCAGTCATCCTGAACTTGATATTGAACTAGAAGCAGAGAGACCGATATGTGCAAAACCTTATCGGATGCCTGCGAGACAAGCAGAAATTTTGAAAACTGAAGTAGGAAAGGTGATAAAACTCAAAGTAATAGAACCAGGTGAATCGTATTTTACCTCTCCACTCATATTGGTTGCAGTTTCTGGAAAAGAGGCAAAACCATGCAGGTAAGTCGCTTGAACTAGGCCATAATATTTTCCCTTGCCGAACATTGATCATTTAGTAGAAAAAAGTCATCTACCGGATATGTAACTGCTCTATATCTTACTCGAGATTACATTAACTAAAAGAGCCTAGCGTTATGCTGCTTTTTAGACAAGTTTTAGCACATTCAAACCTTTAAGATTACCATTTGGACTAAAAAATGCATCATATGATTTTAAATGTTTGATGGCAGGATTATTAAGAAACTGTGAAGAATTTTCTGTACCCTATATTGACGATGTCGCAGTATTCTCGCAAACCTGGGAAAAATATTTGAAGCACCTAGAAATTATTTTGGAGTAGATGATAATTGCTAAACTACATATTAAGCATTCGAAAGGTCAGTTTGCTCAGATGACCTGAAATATCTAGGTCATGTAGTAAGATAAGGTCAAAGAAGACCAGGAGAAGTAAAAATCCATGCCATAAAGGACTTCCCAAAATCTACCATAAAAACACAGGTCCGGTCATTTTTAGGACTTGCAGGATATTATCGAAGGTATACTTCTGAATTTTTTATGATTTCTGCACCACTGACATATTTTTTAAAAGGAAAATGTTGCATATCAACCACAAAAGGGACTGATGAGTGCCAAAACGCTTTTGATGAACTCAAGAAACAGAAAATCCAGTCTTATACAGTACGAACATTTCTCCGCCATTTTTCGTTCATTGCGACGATTCAAATACCGGTATTGACGCTGTATTATACGGATAAATGCTAAAGGTGAAGAACGTCCAATAATATTTCTTAGCAAAAAGTTCTCACCTACTGAACAAAAGTACAGTACAATCGAAAGTGAGTCTGCTGCCATCGTTTTTGCAGTACAAATTCTACTTAGATCGACCTCATAAGTTCATTATTCAGACTGTTCAGAATCCTTTATTCTGGTTGGATAAAAACACTGGGACTAATCCTAGACTATTACGATGGGCTTTGATCTTACAACCTTTCAATTATGAAGTAAGAAAGCGGAAAGAGTGCATAGAAAGCGGAAGCACCATCAAAATGTTAAAAGTTAAAGTCGTTGTATCCAGACATCTCACAAATAAAAATATGTATTTTAGGGCATTTAAAACTTCTTTGTCCAGATTTTTCTAACATCAGAATATTAAATTTTGTATTTTTATTTAAATTGTTTGCTTCAAAAGCACTTGTACTCATTTGGTCTGGTATCTAATTGTATTTGTTATAGGTGTGTGCTTGAACATTTTTCCTTGTACGCAATTTTAATGTATTTAAACTGAAAATTTGTTTTGAAAGTTCCATAGAATTGAAAGAAAAGAAAACTTTTCTTGGAAAAGTTACCCGTGAGGGAACGAATTTAAGACTGTAACGTATTAGCGTTGCTCTGCTACCAACATAATACCAATAAGAAATGTAAACAAACCTCTTTCATAAAGTATCCATGCTTGAAGATGCACGCTCTTAAAATGTTTTTCAGTTATACTGTAAGATTGACTAATAAAGTTGATTGTTCGATAAAAACTGTGAGATTTCTTTAAAACTTCATTACACTGTAGAAAGATCTACTAGTTACAACCGGTTAGACGAAAGGGCAAAACGTAAGGTCGATAACATGATCCTCCACAATCCCGGCCAAACATTAATCAAAATCTGATTCTGCAATGACGACGTTGTGTTGCATGAGGGTTCTCTACCCCTCAGAGATGGGTATTATGTGCGTTGAATATCCCTTCCCTTGTGAAGGATACCTCATCCGTGAACAACACATTAATAGGAAAACGATGATCTGTAGCATAATTTTCAAAATACCCTCTGTGCAAATGCAATACGAGGTGCATAATCGCCCGGTTGGAAGTGCCTGGATACGCTGCACGTGATACGGATGCATTTTGTTTTCTCTGAGAATTCTCCAAATGCTGGGAAGGGAAACCCTAACTGTGTGCCCTACACTTCATATACTCAAACTTAAGAGTCTACTGTGCCTGATGAAGCACATTCTCTTCAGTATCTGGAGTCCGTACTAACCGTGGCCGATGAATTGGAGCTCTTTGAAAGAAATGTGTTTCAGCTAACCTCCCGTGCAGCCTTGCAAAAAATTTCTGGCTGAGTGTTCCTCATAGGGCATCGTTCCGTGCACAAGCGTTGTGCGGCTGGCCCACATGCCAAATGCATATCGACTAAATCCGCGCTCGTATAATTATTCATCCTGCTAATTCTGCGTCCTTGTGCGGAATGACGATCCCCTGCAATAATCTCAGAATTTTTGCGCAACGCTATCTACCGCGTCAAAAAAACCTTCATTACTTGATTATTATATGATTCGCATTACTATATGACTACGCATTACTATATGATTCGCAGTCGTTGGGGTGCACCTTACCTCTCCTGGAAGTCCCGAAACGTGGTACTGAGACACCCTGTATAAGATTCATTACAGCGGCACTCGACTGTATTTAATCAAATTTACGAATTATGTAAAAAGGAGAACAGATCGATGTCATATATGAAATGTCAAACTTATTTTATTTTATAGGATGCTTTTATATAATTATGTGAAATTCACATTTTGATTGTGATAAATCGATCACATGAACACGAGAGCCGAATCAACACCTCAAATAAATCTCAAAATTCCGTCCTCTAGGTATATTTTCATCACTTTCATACTAATATTTAGTTTATTATATTTTAATTCTAGACTTCCTTCTAATCTTTTTATCGGAATATTTTTATTACATCTATTTCTGACTGCACAATTTGAAGTAAATCAAAGGAACAAGAAAAATTATAAAATATATATTTAGATGGCCACAAAAATCCTTTATGATGGCGGTCACGGTTCACAATCAGAAGTAGGTTAAATCGGAAATGCATTAATATTTAATAGTGCTCAAGTTAACAATATTTTTATTAATCCAAATTCGCTCCTCATTTGACTTCAGTTACGTTTATTACGTTACGAACACTGTTAGCTTTTAACAAAACGACTATGCCGTAGAAATGCTTTCGAACGTATTAGATTATACAGCAGAAATGTTAGGAGAAGGAGGAGTTAATGATAGCCTAGCACGTTTTGTCGGTGAACGAGGCTTTACGATGGGGTGATTTTTATCTGAAACTATACAAGTTTTCAATTTTAAAAATTTGGCACTACATTTATAACAAATAATTTAAGGAAAGTATATGCATAATAAATTAATGCAATGAATGAAATATATAATAAAACCTTATCTAACAAAAGTACAATTAATTAGACTAAATTATAGCAAATAGGTGTGAGCTACATCCCTAAATGGAGGGATACCTCAACGGAGGACGTTTTAAGAAAAACTGACTCGTACTGAAGCTACACATAAGAAGAAATGCAAAATATCTCAAGTAGTCAAGCCGTTCGCCGAGATTTGTTCCTGGATCGAATTCAGGAATTTTATCGCTTGGCCACTCATAGACCCAAAGCCCAAATGAACTGGAAAGATGAAGAAAAACAATATTATATTAATGAGTCCAATCATTCCCACTTTTAATCAACATTTTTTTTTTCACTTTCATCTTATACAGTGATATCAATTAATGAAGTATATTATCGGCAAAATTAGAGAACTATAAAATCCGTTTTTCGTAAATGGCATTATATATACTGCTCATTTAATTGATTCAGCAACACAGCTGCTAGCAATAATTATTATTAGAATGAAAACGTCTCAAGAGATCATTCACTATTTTAAATATCATACATAAGATAATCTATTTTTTAAAATTCTAATTATCTATCTAAAAGAAATTTATTTCTAAAAGTAATCCTTTTTTTTTTAGTTTGAACAAAATTCTACTCTAATGAAAAATAGAAGTGAAACAAACGTGTACCATGTGATATGAGACCTCCTAGCTCTGTGGCAACTCCGGCAACTATAGGAAAATAAGGACTCCAGCCGATGTCGGTGCCGTATGTAATAAGAATTTCTCCAGGCTGAATAAAATAAAAAAAAGGAAATGATATTTTAAATTTTAAATGCAAGACTTGTGTGCAACATTAATAAACAGCCAAATTAAACTTTCAGTATGCATTCATTTCAGTTAAAAAAAAAAAGACTGAATGGATAGCGATCTGTTTACAAAATTTCACTAATTTTTAAAGTAACAATAACTTCTTTTGATCCTTCATTCTCTCTGAGCAATTAACTGTTTTCCATTCTGCATTTGCTCATGAATTAAATCATTGAAGAAATATTAAAGCCCCAAAAAAATGGGTTGGGAGCTAAACTTAAATGTCGAATCTGAAACTAGAACTAAAGTTTCGAGGGAAATTTAATACTAAACTCAAGCAAAACTGAATGTCGTACCGAAGGGTCTAGGTCGGAGTCCCGGAGAAGGTATCGATGTTTGTAAGTGTTCAGTGCTTGTAAGCAGACCGAGCCTAGGCACACGTTTACCCTTCTTCATATACACAAAAATGTAACTTCTGGAGGATCTCAGGTTATAGCAAATGAAGGCATAGATGCTATTAGTTTGTTATCACGTCACACTTATCTATAACTGGCACTAACTGGCACTAATTCAGGCTTCTTGGCAAGAGTTTCACGGTCAACGGAATAATACGTAAGTACCCCCACCTTTTCAATCTATTTTCTTATTGCACATTTCATTTTGGTTGTATGCAAATTCACTGCTACTTGTTAAGTTTTTTTTTTTTTTTAGTCCAAAGGGATTTGAATCCCGAAGGACTATTAGTTTCGTTTTGGCATTTTGCGTCGGACGGATAAATGTCGGTTCACTTTTCAAACTGTTGCCATAAAATGTTAGAGTCCTGCATTATATTTGAAGAAATTAAATAATGAAAATCTGCGTAAATGTATGTATATTTCTCGCATTGTCATAAAATAACGGTACATAGAGTCATCGAATTTTGAATAACGTAATCCTCCAACGAATATAAGCATGTGGAAGACCAAATTTGAAATTTGAAATTTGTTTTATGATCGATTTCCTATTTTTTAAAACTTTGACGAATTTTTGATTAACAAACTCAAACTCAATGATTTCAAAGCGAGCAATGGCAACGTTGTGCAGAAAAAACATTTTTATCTCCAGCACGTGAGTCTCTGTATCGGAAATTCTAAAGATATGCTCGTTTTAAAAACTATTTTGCGATATTGTTGTTGCAGCACTGGATTTATGGTTTAAGTGCGAAGGAACATGATATTTAATAAAGAAAAGGTAACACAACAAAATGTTAAAAAAACGCCCCTTTGGACGTAATTTAAAATCTGAAACATTTCAGATTTTTTTTTTTTTTTTTTTTTTTTTTTTTTTTTTTTAAATCTTAGAACATTATTATGTCTTAACTTGTGCGCATATAGTGTGTAATATTAGTTGTTGAACACATTTACAGGCAATTCTTATGCTTACCTGACAAGTCATTTTGGCGTTTTACCCCACGTTTTGTATATAGGAGAATCCATTGCTGGTGGGGAACGTTAGCTGTATGTTCAGATGTTGGTAAGCTGCCCTGCCAGTGGAGTAAACAGGTGTTCTCTTTCAAAACTGAGGCGAAAGTTTAACAATTAGCTAGGTGCAGCAATACCTCAATCAGCTAAGGCACTAAAGAGATGCACCTGTACCTGCCAAATGATTACAGATAAAATTTAGCACGAAGTTCCTCAAAGGTTGATCTGATCTTGATTAAATGCCCAACCAGCCTCTGAAACAGAAACTTCAAACGTCTGCAGTGGGGGAGGAAACTGTGTCCCTGATGATGAATCGTAGGAAGTGAGGATACTAAGAACTTCATAGAAAACTGGGAGACTAAAGTTTCCAACCAAGCAGCAAAAGTGGCTGTAGTCAATAAGGGAAGCGTGACCATATCAAACGATAACAGATTGGTAGGGAATTGGTCTAAGACACCGGGCTTTGTAGATAAGTAACAGGCAATACCACTATTGCGAAATGAAAAACAAAGTCTGACGACAATGAAACGCAACTTCAGAAAAAAATAAAAATAGACGCCCCCCCCAATTTTTTTTTTTTTTTTTTTTTAAATTTCTGAAAGATTTCAGATTTTAAATTACGTCTAAAGGGGCGTTTTTTTAACGTTTTGTGTGTTACCTTTATCTATTAAATATCATGTTCTTTGCACTCAAACCACAAAATTCAGTTCAACAGCAATGTCGCAAAATAATTTTAAAACGAGCATATCTTTAGAAATTCCGATACACAGTCTCGCGAGCTGGAGATAATATTTTTCCGTACAGTTTTGCCATTGCACGCTTTGAAATAGTTGAGCTTGTTAATCAAAAATTCGTTAAAGTTTCACAAAATACGAAATTGATCATAAAACAAATTCCAAATTTCAAATGTGGGCTTCCAGTTGCCCATATTCGCAGTAGGATTACGTCATTCAAAATTGGATGGCTCTAGGTACCGTTGTTTTATCTCAATGCGAGAAACATACATACATTTATACAGATTCTTTAGTATTTAATTTCTTCAAATATAATGCAGGACGATAGTATTTGGTGGCAACGATTTGAAAAGTGATACAGCCTTTTAAAGTTTTCAGCGCAAAATCGCAAAACGAAAACAATAGTCCTTCAGGGACAAAGCCCCTTTGGACTAAAAATAGATAAAAACAAATGAAAGAAGGAGCATAATACTATTTCCTACTGAAATGAGCATTGAGTATGTTGATTTTTGCCCATTTATTATATACCTTAATTAACCTTATCACATTTAATGACACTCTGAAAATTTACTGTAATCAATAAGTTATGATACAAACCTTCAGATAAGAAGCTTCTTCTAATGTAAGAGCAACACGTGCATAACCTTTGGCTATGCCTTGACTAACCGGAATGCCTAAAAATGAATAAAATACATTGTATATGAAATTTACTATACATTTTCATGCCTTTCATCTAACGATATTAACAATATATTACCAAAATATTTTTAAGTCATTTAACATAAGATTTTTTCCCTTTAAATTAGATGTATAGCGAAACAAAATTCAAATATATATTGTTAGGTGAGTAAAGGTTCATAATAGACTGAATGCACACAGAAGCGATGATAGATTGTTAAAATTTATTTTATCAAGAACCAATTTACAGTTCTAGAACTTTTCACAAAAGTACTTGTTCGGGAGTCCGTGACACTTAGCCGACGAGACACTTAACCGACACCAATTAGCCGACAGGACATTTAGCCCACAAGGACACTTAGCCGACAGGACATTTAGCCCACAAGGACACTTAGCCGACAGGACATTTAGACGACAGAGAGAGTTAGCCGTTAGGACATTTAGCTATGGGACATTTAACTGTCAAAACATTTAATCAGCAGGACATTAAGCCGACAGTTACGTTTAGCTGACACGTACCAATAATTATTTAAACTTACTGTCAATTACAAAATTTGTCGACTTCTCCATAAGTTCAATATTTAAGTCATTTTCTTCACCTATCAGTAAAATTCATTTTTCGATTCTTGAAGATCCAGTATGTGCTTTTAATTCTTGTGTAATTTAGCATAGTTTGATGCATATCGTGCTGTTTGGTATATATTAGCCAAATTGAAAAAGCATTGTATTTTCTCGTCAGGGAATATGAATTAAATTTCGAAAGGAAAAATAATTTTTTAAGCTAAATACGACGTTAGCAATTTTCATTGGAAGAGACTGGTTATATATTAAGTAAAACTGTCACTTTATCTCTGTTAGGCCCAGCAACGGCCGAGCGGTAAAGTCGCTAAGCAGTAGTAGTTCCGTCCGAATTTCAAATCCCGTGAACGGACTGGTTGCATGAAGGGTTTCGTGTTCGTGTGTAACGTGTGTACGAGCCAGTTTCTCCACGAAGGTATCCCTTCCTTTAGGCAGATAGCCCTCTGGCTTTGCCGTAATTAAATAAACCAAACGAAACCACGAAACCAAACCTACTTCTGTCAGGTGGCCGGAAGCCACGAGACACGAATTATAAATTAATTCGTAATTATAAATTAATAATACCTAGATTAATAAATACACTATGCCTAACGTGTAAATAACATTCTGAGGGTTAGCATTTCAGAAAAAAAAAAAAAGTTGTTCCAGTGCGGCGAGGAGTAGGGCGAATCACTCTACTTCTTGACAGGGAAAGGAAATTTCATTAGTGGGAGGAGCGAAACGATTTTATACGGAAATGAATGTAGCATGATGTGTTGAGCAAAGTAGTAATGAAATGTGAAAGTATTAGAAATCTGAAAGCATTGGGAAGAGCGAGACTCATTGTCGACTTAATGTCCTGTCGGCTAACTCTCCGTGACGGCAAAATGTCCTGTTGGTTAAATGTCCTTGTCGGCTAAATGTCCTGTCGGCTAAATGTTTGTGTTGGCTAAATGTCTTATCGGCTAAGTGTTCGTGTTGGCTAAATGCCCTGTCGGCTAAGTGTTATGTCGGCTAAATGTCCTGTCGGTTAAGTGTCTCGTCGGCTAAGTGTCCGCGACCGCTTGTTCAGCTGCCTTAATGTGACAATCAATACTAATCACACCTACTAAGAGCGTTGAATACAAGACAATATAAAAAATGCCTCTAATGCTTAAGCTCAAACAGTGATCTCTCAGTATTCTGACCTACATATAATTCAAATAAACTAAAAAGTAATGCTCTCGCCGGTCTTTCAGAGTTAACCCCGTCCGCCGAGAAATTTCTAATAGCTTTAATTTCTTTAAATTGCTGAAAGGCATAAAGTTACAATTACATAGGGCCAGATAAAATTGCAGTTACATATGGGTCGGACCAGTTACAGTTATACAGGAATCGGACAAAAATGTCGCCAAACTCAGTGTTACATGGACTTGCTCCTGCAACCTTATTTTTCCAGCGAAGCTTCGATTCTTGAGGCCTTTCATGTTACATGATATAATTTACATATAATTTCACTAAAGTTATTCAACTGTACACATTCGCAACAATATGTAAATTACACTAACAACGATAAATTTCAAAAGCTTTCCAGACTATTATAAAAAGATTATTTTGCAAGAATTTAATAAAATTTCTGTAAATAAAAAGAGTATTTCAATTTCAGAATTAATGTTTCAAGAGGCGAGAATATTTTTAAAGCTTTAGCTTGGTAACTGTATCATTTATCTTTAACTAGCATTACATTCGTAGAGAATCTCTGCCAGAAAATATCTATTTTAAAATAAAATAATAACATTGTAGACATTATTATCTTCATTTTTGCTGATGCAATTAAATAGTATGATTACTTTAACTGCATTGTACAGAACATTTCAGTAGTTTCATTTAGAAATGTAAAATTTTTAATTTTACAAAACATAAGAACCATTATTCTTTTTTTGAAATCCATAGAAAAAATATAAAGAAATCCCAATATAAAAAAGAAATCAAATACTTAAAATTTAAAGAAAAAATTTTTTAAATCTGTAATATTTAATAATATTTATTATAATACACCATTTAAAAATGTCTATTAAACTAGAAAACTTAGTCAAAACTCATGATAAATTTTGTATTACCTTTCATTATCAAATCAGATACAAATTCAACTTCTTCTTCATCATCATTTATCTACAAAGAACGTAATTTATCAAATATTGAGTCATAATTTCTTTAACAACCAACTTGAAAATTTCCTTCTGCGAAACTTTGCGAACTAAATAATTACATAAAAATGCGAACAATATACAAGAGATTTTAAAGTTACCGGTTTAGGAAATCCTCGCATTATTTCTGGAAATAAATATTTGTCAAGTTCCGGAAACAGTTTTCTACGATGATTTGCCCTAAAAATATCAAAAAATAAAATTTAATCATACCCTTTACATAAAAGACTAAACTTCTACGGGAACGATCGAAAAAAAATCGAAATTTATATATTTAATTGAAAGATTCAGTATAAAATAGTTAACAAAATAAACTGAACAAAAGTTATTACAGGTGAGCATAAATAAAGTGTCTACAATACAACATTTTGCTATCACTTGAAAATCTACCTCGCAATAAGTCTCGGGGACCTTGTTTCCAACAGATCTTTGATTTCTTCCATAGTTAAGAAATATAATAAATCGGTATCAGGAATTCGACCTTCAGCAACCATCATTTTAGCAAGATGCTCATATTTTTGTCGAACAAAATCCACCGCTTTAACTAAAAGGGCCTGAAAATACATCATATATCACTTTCTGGAAAGTCCAGTCACAAAAGGAAGGAACCATTTGAATTTAATCAGAACTGGTGTATTACTTTAGCGGCCTCTCTTCCTCTGACTCCTCTACGACAACGAGGTACCAAAAATTTCAGAAGACATCTAAAAAATATTTTTATTAAGTGAACAATAAAAACAAATTTATTTAATAACAAACATTCAAAAATTACTACTTTAAAATTTTACCTAGATTTAAAGTCCAGAGGCACTCGAAGTTGAGATATTATTGCATCATAATCATCATCCACTTTCTGAACAGGCATTTCACATGTGCCACACAGGTTCTGAAAAATTTCACTCTTTGAATTCGAAATGATAATAAGTCCCTACATTTATATGTCAATCCTTACAAATACTTTTATACATTTAACCTGCTTTCTGTAAACTGGACAGATCAGAAAAGAAACAAATTTCATGAAAATAATAGCATCGATTACGATATTAGATAAAAACGTTGGGAAGGAAGTAAACAATGGCGGGACACAACAACTGGCATGCTAAAACTGGCTGTTTCATCATCGGTGCAAAAGCGCAAATAACATAAAAAATAACAAAGAGTTGAATATTCTTTGGTCTTTTTCAAGAAACAGCTGAAACTTTTTCAACAATGCCATGTTTCTGAATTATATCTGGATGATTATAAAAAACAAATATTTCAAAAGTAATTGCAAATAAATGTACACAAATTTAATGCAATTTAAATTAAAATGCAAATATATTTTTTTGACTTAATAATTTTTAATTACTCATCAAGATATAATTTGCTCTGACATGAACCTAAACAAATAATACTGTATAAAAATTAAACAGTATAAAATAAGAACTTTTTAAATTAGAAACCAGAAAAAAAATTGGTCAGATTAAAAGCAATTAGCTAAAATAATATTTTGCAATATATGCTGAACTTAACAAATGACAAAAGTGCTAATATTGCTTAAAATTATTAAATGTTTGGTCAAAATTTAAGGAAGCGAAACAAAGTTATTTATTTGAGAATGGAAGACTATAAGTTCGTAGAAAATATTTTAAAAGGCAACAGAAAAAAATTACGAAAAAGAATTAAATTAATAATAAATTGAATTGATTAAATAATAAATTGAATGCAAGAGGAAAAAGAAAATTAAAAATTGTGATACAGATTTTCCTTACTTTTATTATAAGTGTTCTACAAATCTGGAAAGAAAATTTTATGTTGAGGTGATGAATCGAGTTAAGTAATAGGAGTTAGGGGTAGTTAAGTAGTACTAGTTAGATAACTGCAGCTTTTCCATTTCTTAAATTCAACAGTTATTGTAAAATATTATATTCTGGTTTCTTATTTAAAGAACTCCTATTGTTTAATTGTTATACAGTATTTTTATCTGTTTAGGATTACATCGAAGCAGATTATATCTTAATGATTAATTAAAAATTATTTTAAAAAATTATACTTGCATTTTGATTTAAATTACATAACATTTGTTTATTTTTGTACTTATATTCATCCAGATACAATTCAGAAATGTGGCCGTATTGAAAAGTTTACGGCAGCTACTTGAAAAGATCAAAGAATTTTCAACCATTTGTTATATTAGTATTATATTTTTGTTTTTTAATGAGTTGTTCTATTTTGTTTGACTATTCATTTGTGTTCTTGTTAGATAGTTGGCCACCGCTCCTCATTCAGTTATTCTCTCTTGATTATCAAATTAATTTTTTAGCATATTGGAAGACTTTAATAATTAATAATCGTCATTTCTATCTATCTGTAAAACTGATGGTTACAACAGAGATTCTTAATCCGGATTTCTACTGCTAATTTTTAGTTAATGTTTCAAGTGCATTAGTTCTGAAATATATTACGAAGTATAAAGATGATTTTTTTGTATATTTAGTTATATCTACGAAATTAAATCAAAAAATTTAGATCGCTGTTTTAAAAACTTTTGCCATTCTTAAATCCCTGGCTTATAGCAATGCTGTACCAAGAATTATGACAATGATCTAAAATTCAAACTTCATTCAAACTTATTTCCACAAATTATTATAACTTAATTAACCAAAAATTTAAACTTCATTTAAACTTATTTCTACAAATTATTCTAACTTAATTAACTGATTTCTCAAGGTAAGTTGAAAATTACATCAAAAATTTCAAATTTTGAAATTAATCCCGGTCAAGTTTTGTTTAACGGGAATCAAATTTCTTATAATTTTATTTTTTAGTAACGAGCAGAAAACTTTCAGAAACATAAGTCTACGAGCCGGAAACCGCATTAAATGTTAGATTTCGTTATTCGCCCGATTTTATTTTATTTTATTTTATTTTATTTATTTATTATTATTTTTTTGGGGGGGGATGGCAAAACATGAAATTTTTCGTGAAAACAAAAGCCCAATTTTAAACCGAGTAAGAGGATGGGTACAGAAACATATGACTATATGTGTCTAATTTTAAATTTTTATTCACAAAAATGTTTCCCTTTCAATATGATAAGCATGTTACATTTAAAATTTCCATTAAATTATCAATAAATTTGCATAATGATAGCTTAGAAATTTAATAATTTCTACTACATCTGAATTTTGCAGAAAGGCCGTATCCTCCGCATAGTTATTTCTTATTTTTTTTAATTTCCTATTCTAAGTTGCTGACTTAAATTTAAACTTAGCTTAACTGCAAACAAAAAAACATTTTCTGATGTTTATGAATATGCATGATTTAATGAAATAAATAATGATGATGGGATGCATTCTTGAAAGAAAATTAAAAGGTTATTTTGTGTAAATTCGTTCTATGATTTCAAAAAGTTACAGGCTGTACTTACTTGAAGATTGTTTTCAAATGTTGCACAAACTCGATAAATTTCATTTGGAGGAATCCTTCAAATAAAAGAATATTTTCCCATCATAATATTTAATTAAGCAAGAAGTGAAACTCTCCTTGATGATCTAAACTAGCTGTTTAACATAAGTTTAACATGACTGAAAGTAATAACTGAGAATTTTTCTCATCGCTATGGCGCATCACTGCGGCTTTACATGCGGGGTGTTATCTTTCAATGAATCGGCTTGAAGATGACCCACTTTTCGCACTTATGTTTCTATTCTAGCAGCAATTCATAAACAAATAAATATTCGAAATAAGAACGTTGACCAATAACAAAATTAGGAGGTAGTAAATCGAAAAAGACAAATAATAAAAATCGTAAAAGACTGGATTTCGGATACGACGTGCTGTATCTGTTGAAATAATAAATATTGGAACTGCTTCAGCCATTTTATGTGGTCATCTCCGACAGTAACATAATAGCAGTGCTCAAAATATCACGATAAATGACTGATAACTTACAAAACCAGTGTGAATCCAAAGCTACTTTTTTTTTTTTTTTTTTTTGCCTTCTCTTTCCAAATTAAGGCTTGTATACTTTCAGCCGCAGGTGGAAAGTTATGAGATGAAATATGTGACCTTAGAAAATCATTTCTATGCCATGAATGATGCCATCTGTCGATGAATCTGAAGATACTGAATATTCTTAATCTTTTGGTTAAACTGTGGACTCGTGACTATTATTCTCCTAGTTTAATGACTAAGTCATTAGAGCTCTCAATAATTATGATCGCGTATGGGATATATATTCTGTCGCAAATGAGTCGTCACCATCCTCTTTATATATATACGTATATATCAAGGGCGCTCAACCAGGGGAGAATATAATAGTTTCATGGGGGCAATGAGGTCAGTCTTTATTTACCTATTAATTATTTAGTTTTAGTTTATGAATATGAAAAAACTACTTTTGTTCAGTTTTGTTATTTATCAATATTTTCCAAGCTTATTCTTATTTAATTTACAAAACACATAAACTAATCTACTCGTACATTTAAGTAAATGTGTTTTTTCGAGTTTGGGAATGGAGAGTGGGGATGAGAGTCTGGCAATGGTGAAAGAGACGCACGGAGGGGGGGAAAAATGTTGAGAACCACTAACATATGTATGGAGAGCAAGTTTCTGAAAGTGAATATCATGGGTGTTGAAATTAAACTTAAGCTCTCCCCTTAAAAATATGTACTCTTTCTCTGTATTATGATTTTGTGACCAACACATTATTCACTTTACCTATATAATTCTTAAATTAAGACTGCAAAGTGCAATGAATGAAGCAAATGAGTTATATCGACAATATAAATCTAAAACAACTGCCGATCTGCAAAGAACATACAATGCCCGAAGACAGTGGTATAATGGTCACAGTGATCATCAGGAGTTCAGTTGAGATAGGGTGCCGATTCAAAGAAAATCCATACTGCACTTCTATATAATTAATAAAATCAATAAGAAAAGTTATAGACACTAAGCTTTAGGGAATTCACAGGAACCCTGTGCCTTTTCTATAGGCAAATTAGTATCATTTCTTATGATCCACTAGGTAACAATATGGTACGAAATTTCTGTCGTGTGGGATTAGACATCAAACGGCCATTCTTTGAAAATGAATGAATCGAAGCAGTTATTGAGAATGCAATAGAATATGATTAAAGATTGTAATATTTAATCATGATGCTACTGGTCACCGTCACTGTGAGTGGGGTTTCAGCAGGACCTGCTGGTAAATCTAGAGTCTTCATGGCCATTTTCAGAAGTTGTTCCAGGGTCACTAATATCGCATTACGGAAATACCATCTATTCGTTCCAATAGTCTGATTTAGCCATATTTAGCTATTTATTCTGGGACTACCTCAAAAGCAAACTTTAAGAAACAACGACCTTTGTGCCATTTTTCAGCTCATAAACCTAGTTCGGGAGTTTAATGCAGCCAATTCCTAAATGAAGCTTTAACATGCAATAATGTCTTTGCATTCTTAACCATAATAAAGGACTCATGCAAGAATTCAGAATGTTGTCTGAAATGTTATATTCACACATTGTTGCATACACAGAAAGACTTTGACAACACGTAAAATACCCACTGATCTACAGAAAGTTTTGCATGAAAGCATGAAAATGACTGATTATATTAAAAACCATCCTTTGAATGCATTACTTTTTTTTTTTCAAATACGCGAAGAAATAGGAAATAGTCATTTTCAATGTTCGTTGCCTATCTCGAAGGAAAATTCTAAACCGGTTATTTGAACTTAGACATAAACTTCAAATTTTTCTTAATGATAGATTTGAATTGAGAAATTGCTTAATGACTGGAAATGGTTCTGTAAATTAGCTAACAGATATATTCTCGGTTTTAAATTGTCTCAACTTATCGTTGAATGGCAAAGACATTTCACACTGTTTCACATTCAAAATGAAGTGAACATTACCATGGCAAAATTAAATTTGGGCGAAGAACGTTGGTAATGGACATGTGAACTCATTTTTCTCTCGTCATCAGTTTACAGCAAGTTTGGTCGGCAAAATTTATGCTGCACTCTGAAATGTATAACGCATCATTTACAGAATTAACAGATGGGCCTGAAAGACTATTATCTTGATTTAAACAAAAATACTGAATGGATCAGATATCCATTCAGTATCCTTTCACCTTCAAAATAACATCTATGCCAGAAGGTTTATCGCATGTGGAAGAACAGCAAGTTGGAATTAGCTTCATGAAAAGAAGTGTATGTTTAACATTAGTCTGATTGCAGATTCCACATGTTAAACAGTTTTAACAAAAAAAGTGCTGAAATTAACCTTGCCTTTTCCAACTTCATATCTATATGATGCTGCTTTTTCAACATTTGTAGACATTACGTCAAATAAAGGAACAGGCTTTTGATAAAAAGGAATTGGCTTTTGGTTGTGGAACCTCATCTCAGATAAAAGTTAACAACCAGGAAAACAAATTTAGATGATCTATCATCTCAATTTACAGTTTCATCCTTCCCATGGATTATAATGAATATTATTTATAATAAAACTTTCATTTGTTTTATTCATATTTTATTACGAATGAATTTTATTTTTCGTTTATTATGATTTTGTTTGTGTACTAAAAGGGAGAAAATAACTATATTTTGATTGCTATTAAAGTGTGTGGAATTTTTATTTTTATTTTATTTTATTTTTTTTTTTTTTACGAGGGGTACTCAATATAACGAATATTTTAAAGGGGGTACACAAATGTCGAAAGCTTATGAAACAATGTACTACACTCATATGTCACAATGTAACATTCCAAACAATGATACCGTAACAAGTAACATATAACTTTTCAATATATACTCCTATTTTTAATGCATTCTATACGTTTTTAAGTGAAGAATTTCGAAAACGTAAAACAGAAAGGAAATGATTCACTGCGATGTTCGGTTGCTCATAAAATGTAATATGATTAGAGCCAAAAAAGTAAAAGATAATGAATATAAAACAAACACACGGATATTTTAACCAAAGCAAAATTTTCTCCGCTTCAGAGAAATTTTGTTGGTTTTAAAATCATAATGTATTTGTTTATACCTGCAGCAACTTAACCAAAGACTTCGGATTTCTATACCAAGGTGTTGATCGCAGATCAAACTGAAAAAAAAAATTTCAGTCAAAATTTAATCAAAGTTTAAAATATTAAATTCCTTCAAGTTTAAAATATCTTCAAAGTATTCACTTCTTTCAGACACCTGTGGCCATGTCTCTTAATGAACTGCCGAAATTTGTATCCAGCAAGTGTTGTTGAAGTTTCAAGCAAATTTAGAGCTTCCTGTAAAAATAAAAGTAACAAAATTGAAATAATTTTCTTAGCAGTTCATATATATATATAATATAATTTTGTTCATTTTATTCTAAAATCAAATTTTATACATATGTTTCTAGTATCACATATAAAAAATTGATTAGTAATAAATTTATTTTGCAGACATGTAGTCGGGTTGTTAAACACATAAATATAATATTTTTACATTGAGCTCGACAGCGTTCTTTCTTGAGATGAAGTGATATGATTAACAAAGAAAGGAATTGTTCAAATTTTGTTTCAGTTGATGAAGCTAAGAACACAATTTGACTGGTTACCTTTCCTTGTCGGCACAGAACAACATTAATCGCTATAAATTTTTCTGTTATTACTACGACATTAACTGAAGATTGGTTTTTATTATACTAAATTTTCGTACTTTATTTCGTGTGAAAACTTAAAAGCATATGCATTGCTTTTTCTTGAATAGTCACTATAAAATAACTCTAATTCTAAATTATCATGGTGGCGAGTATATCCCTACCATATAAAATCTTTGAATTACACATAATCACATTCCATAAGCAAATTTATTTTATTTCATTAAGCTTATAATTCAGATAGAATGACGAAGTATATATATAGATATAACAAAAGTGGTTCAAAACTATATGTCAAAAGTGTAAAGGCAGGTAGAGGGGACCTGAATAAGCAGATTTCGTATAGGAATGATGTGCGGTAATGCTGCATTAAAGCGCTAGCACGTAAAGCACTATGAATCACAGGAAACTAAAAAGACAAGTAAAGACAAAGAGAAAAAAATATTAACAATTTACAATAGATGCTTGAAAGAGCGGCCGCCAACAGCGATACAAGATTCACAGTGGTGGCTCATAGATCGGCGTACTTTAGAAAAGACGTCAATCGTGCTGGAACCACATTCGTCTGTAAACAGCTGGTTAAGGTAATCGCCCTGTAAAATCGCCCCTTCTACATTCTTTGAGCAGTTAATTCTTTTCCTTGTGCAGCCCCATACCTGAAATGCATATCGGCAAGCTCCGCATTGGTGTAATGATGCATGCTGCTCGAGATCCGTACGGAAGATGAAGAACAACTTCCACTGTATGCCGAGATTAGCACGAAAAGTCCATGCTGTGTTCCGGCTGTCAGAGCTTCGTGTGCCATGGAACGGCGCTTCAAGTAGAATGAGTGCAGCACAGTAAGTCCAGGAGGACAGGATCGAAGATGGCGAAGGGGCGTAACCAGTTTGTCACTTGGACATGGCTATGACATTGCATCGGCTGGATAGTATTTCAAACTTTGATGCCGTAAATAACATTTTTATGGATTTGGGAGATTAAAAATATCATAAATAGTAATTTTACATAATACAAATTGAGTCTTAATGCATTTAGAATTCATTATTCTAAGTTCAGTGCAAAGGGCAGAACAATTCACAGTAATTGAAATAAAGTAGTCACATGATACTTGAGAGCGGTCGCTCAGTACTGAAAAAAAAAAAAAAGAATCATATAAATAAAGCAGAATTATGACAGTAGAAAAGTTCATATACGCATATTCACAGTGCACACAGTTCAGCAACTATCTGCATGGTGCAATTTACATGGCGAGAGAGTTATGTGGCGTGGTCACCCACCCAAGTCGGAGCTCACCAAGTTGCTGCTTTATTTTTAAGTTGTAAATAGAAATTTTACAACGAGAAACTGACACAGTACATTGAAATTTAAATGGGAAAATTTTGATTTGTACTTAACAGGAAAGTAGCATACGGTCTGAGATATTTAGCTTCACTTAAAACTTCGTAGTGAAGTGTATTAAAGTAATTTAAGTGCTCGGAATTTTGTGCGTTAGTGAAAAACTTTTTTTTTTAATTTTGTAGGAAAAATCTTTTATTGGTTCAATCCTTAAGTCTTGATGGAGGAGATTATTACATACGTAAAACTGAGAATTGGTGATGATACGCAGGTATCTATTTTTCACAACTTGTAGTTTATGCAGGTCCCAATCAATGGCTACCGCCCACGCCGGAGAAGCATAAGTCATAATAGGTCGAATAATAGCTAAGTAAATCAGTCTCTTTTTTGCTAAATCTAACTTTGAATATTCGCCTATGATGGGATAGAGACACTTAAGAATCTTCATGGCCTTATTTCTGATATTTAAAATGTGAGGAGTCCAAGTTTATGATTGAGTATCACACCTAAGTATTTGGCCTCCTTAACAACCAGTACAGGTTCATTAAAGAGTAATAAATGCGTCTTTAGTGATGGATTCCATTTTGTTCTTCTTATAAGTAAGAGCTGGGACTTCTGGGCTTGTACACACTTTCTAGCGCGTGCACCAGTCTTCAGTGGAGGAGATTTTTGAATAGCAAAACTGACGATAGCAGATTTTACTGCCAAGGCAGTATCGTCTGCGTAGCATGCCAACATAGAATTCTTGTAATAATCAAATTTTGGAAAGTCGGAAACATAAAATAAGTACAGAACAGGTCCAATAACGGAGCCCTGCGGGACACCAGCACTAATATTTCTTTCTGTAGAGAGAGCATCACCCACAGACCCTTTGATTGTACGGTCAGAAATAAAGGAATAAAAAAAACCATAATAATTTCTCTGATGAAATCCAGGCTGATACGTTTAAAGAGAAGTCTTTCATGCCAGATGCTGTCAAATGCTTTTGCCACGTCTAGCATGAGCATAGCAACGTTAAGTTTGGAATGCAGGGCAGCACCTACGAATTTCGTAATCCTGATAAGCTATTTGTGGTGGAGAGGTTTTATCGGGAACCGAATTGTTCCGGAGGTAGTAGGTAGAGGTAATGCTTCATTCTGTTAAGTAAGATTCGTTCATACACTTTTCCAAGGCACGGTAATAAACTAATGAGCCTAAAGCCATCGGGCTCGGTATGGTCTTTATTTGGTTTCGGAATGAGAATGATTTTAGCTTCTTTCTATCGCTTCGGAAAGTAAGACAGAGTCAGGAAGGCATTGAGGATGCTAGCAATTTTACATATCACATTATTCGGGAGATTTTTGAAAGCTTTATTCGAAATGTTGTCAGTACCAGGAGCGTTTTTCTTGTTGAGGTTTTAATAAGTAATGATGTTGTTTCTAGTTTGAGTCTCCAGCCAATCACGAACTTTGTTAAGCGTATGTAATTCAAAATCAGGATCTGCCGGCCAATCGTTTGGCTTAAATTGAAGTTCTAAATGATCGGTGAATATCTTGGCCTTATCTTGATTAGAAATTCCAACACAATTATTATAGTAGAGAGGGCGATTGCTGGTAAATGCGGTTTTTAAATTCTTAATTAGTATCCAAAAAAGAACTATCTTTCGAATCCAGATTTAGTAGCTTATCTTGTCACAATTGCTCTTTATGCTCTTTAATGAGATTCAAGGCTGAGTCCAATGTAAAATGATAAAGTTTTCTGGTTTTATTATGCTGCCTGATCGGCAGCCGAATATTTGCAGGGAGACAAAATGAAGAATCCAGCTAGCACAGCGCTTTTATACACCGTACTCATCAGCTCTCTCTATCGGCTGAACGCGGCATTACCGCACACACTTTCGTACACGAAATCTGCTTATTTAGGTCCCCTCTACCTGCCTTTACATTTTTAACATACAGTTTTGAACCACTCTAAATAAACGTAGAACATCAAAAGATATTTCATTTAAATTATTTGAATATAGACAACAGAAATAAAAAATAAGTCACAAATGAGGAGTTTTTTTCTCTTTACCTCAGGACTCATAGCCTTAAACCGTTTGCTTCCTATATCTTCATCTATCTTACAAGCCAAGTTCTAGTAAGAGAATGGGAGAAGACAATATATATAATGTTTTCTTGTTTTATCTAAAACACTTATGTATCAACACAGATTAGTTAATGAATATAAATACCGGTTTAATTATTTAACTATGACTAATTTCTATCAACAAGAAAAGGCTTATATCTAAAGTGATTAAAAATATTACGAATTTGCCAAACCTCTCGTTGAGACTGTTAAATAACTTCTATTAATAACTATTAATAATATTAATACCTAAATTTTATTAATAATAATTTAATTCTATTTATAACTGAATACCTATTAGCAGAAATACTACTCAGTGTTTCACTTCTGTAAGGTCAGAAAAATGGGTAGCAGAAATACTACTTCCCATTTTTCAGACCTCAGAGAAATAAAAAGGTGAGTACAGATCCAGCTACCATATTAGTTTCATAATTAAGAAAAAAAATTATGAAAATAAACAAAAGGGATGTGTCGAGTACATATTCGACCAAAAATTTCATCTGGATTAAACTTATTAACTGGCTGTGAGTTTGTGGAATTCTGTAACCATTAATCAGAAAATAGCTAGAATATTTATAACACTATAAAACGGCAGCATCAAAGCCGTCCGAAAGCAGCATGAATGACCATTGCGTGTAATTATCAATCTGTCGGAATAAGTAGTAAATTGACAGTTAGCCTGTAGAGACATTAGGTATTTTTTGGAAGCAAGAGAGATTGAAAAATATGCAACCGTCTTCGCCGGGAATCGAACCACGGACCTCTGGAATACCGGCCCAGTGTGCAGAACTACTACACCACGAAGGCACGCTAGGAAAGCGGGAGAAATACCTTATATACTCCCCTTTTTAAAGGGCGACTAGAGTTTTAGGGACGTAGTCGCCAAATTCTGGGTGTGGAGAATCGTCATCCACAACCCTTTTAATTCGGGCGCCACTGTAGAGACATTAGGTATTTTTTGGAAGCAAGAGAGATTGAAAAATATACAACCGCCTTCGCCGGGAATCGAACCACGGACCTTTGGAATACCGGCCCATTCTGCAGAACCACTACATCACAAAGGCACGCTAGGAAAGCGGGAGAAATACCTTATAAGCCTACTCAGCAATAGGGCATTTCAAACTCAAACTAGCCGCAGTCGTCTTCAGTGATATGGCGTTTACATATAAGACCAATACTGCTTCTTTAATCAGAGTAGCGTACAACCCAAAAAACTAGGCTGAAGAACACCGTGGTGGGGAATGAACTGAGTCGAACCAAGTTATTGAATCGAGATACATTTCGGCTAATTAAAAAATTCTTCTTTGGGAAAAAAGATACTAAAAAAAATCTAGTTTTAATGTATGAAATATCACATTACGTGGAAAGGAGTTTGTGATCAAACGCATACACTCTCGGTGGGAATGACAATTTGATGACCCAGATAGGGATAAAATTCTTATGCATACTATCATGCCACAAATAGCCATAGCCGATTTACAACGTTTTCGTATGTTGATGCTCAATCAGACAGAGCTGGATTAATAAATAATTTGCTTCAAGCGATAGAAATTAAGCAAACAGAAATGGCAGCAAATTCCCTTGACCAAATCCAGAATCCGTAAATAATTTATTCACACAGACAGCATCATCCACAAAAAGTACTGGAACACATTACATGAAAATACTGCATTGCAATACAAATAAAAGTATAAAAACATCATTATATATGAAATACCACACTTTTTTCTTCATCTAATCATTAGTGCATAATACATCATCACTAAATTCCTACTGACATTTTCTTATGCCCAATATCAATCAGTATCAATATCAATTATCGTTGCATTATGGCCTGGAGTAATAGGTAAAATATATTTTACCCATTGCAATAGTGATTGAAAGCAGGTAAAAGTTTTTCAACACTTACAAATTAACACATGCACATAAAATCAATTAGAGAAATACTAACCTGCATAGCGTTAGGAATATCTGCACTTTCAACACCCGATGAAGATGCTAAAAGTCTAGCAAAGTCAGTATACACATTGTCATCAAAGGCTATGGAAAAACATGAATAAATCTGATCAAAAGTTTAAAATAAGTAAAGGTTATACAACTTAAATTTACGTTAAAAGGGAAATAGCGATGATCAAGAGACCAAAGTAATTTTTCGAAAAACAAAATTTTAATAAAAAGACCTAAATTATTAATATTTACTTTAAAAGCAGAAATCAGTTACATGGATACAACTCATTCATATCATTTGCATCCGAAATCAGAACCCTTTATTAGAAGCTCTTCAAATATCAAATTAATAAATTTGATATTTCACTTCATCACTTGAAATATGCATATCGATCTACACAAAGGTTCCTCAACATGGGTGCTACAGCTCCTTAGTTTAACTCAGATATCGTGGCATTACTGATCCGGCAGGGAGTAAGGAGGCATTGAAAATCAAGAGGACAATAAGAACTAGCCTGAAAAATTTTGTTACCTAAGAATTTTAAAAATTCACTTTTAAAAAATTCACTTAGTTACATAAATATTACAGTGACGCATCTTTACAAGAATCATATCAAACACTATTGGTGTTGAAAATTAACAGAACTTGACGAATTTCTCGAAAAGTATAGAATGATAGGTACAAATTATGCATCAAAATAAAAAATGTAGCACAGTAGTGTCGAATATACAAGCGTACATGTGCGTTTGGAAGGCGTATTAGAGAAAGAATCATACAGGTACATAAAAGTGCATACAGGTTTCTGCACTTTCTTTACTCGCACTCATCGGTGACTTTTCGGAGTGGTTCAAGGAGCAAAAGAATGAATTCCAGTTAATGTTCTAGCCACCTCATTCGCCAGATCTTAACCTAATAGAGAACATTTGGAATATCATGGATCGTCAGCTCAAACACTACCCTGTCGGAATATCTCGGCTTCGCCTGACCGCTGATTAGACAGTTGGTAAAGCGTCTCTCCAGGCATCTGCCACGAACATGTGGCATCCATGCAAGTATGTTTTGCAAGTCAAAGGTCGCACAACGCGTTATCGAGTATATGGTAATAATGGTTTTGCTCTTCAGTATAAGTAAATTTATTCTTTACATGCTGATTCGCGTTGTACTCTAAGTGAATGTAATTACAAATTATGAGTAATTACAAATTATTCTAGCGTTTTAAAAATATGAACACGGAACTTTTATGTTTGCATTCTGTTTCCATATTGTGCAGTGAGTTTTAAATACTAATTGGAATGCAAGCACAGTAAATGCAAAAATGTTTGTATGTCTTCAGTTAGTTCCTACAGATCACGCTTAAAAGATAGCTGATGTAACACTTCCTCGATATTTGTTTGAGCAAACTCGAAGAGAAAGCTCAGCAAAGTAAAATTCGAAAAGGGAGAAGAGAGCCAAAAAGGTTGGGAAAGTATGCTCTAAACCAAGCCTATCTCAATCGCAGGATGCGGGCCAAAATTAGCCCTCAAAGCTTGTCTTTGTGGACCTTTCAGATCTCAAAGGAAGACATAAAATAAAATTAACTGTAAATACGAACTTTAGCTGAACATCTCAGTTTTTGAAGTAACACATGGCAATTGTCTACTACTTTTTCTTCCTAGACTTCAATATATTTCAACTGATAATATGTTTTTAAACATTTCTAAATTTTGTTTTAGAGATAAAAATTCTTTTTACTTGCTTTCCAGGAGATAGTAAATCTGATTTGAACTTTTGTTTTGGTTTTCTTCTAATTTTTTTATAATTATTTGAATTAATACAGCAGCAAAAGACAAAATTTTAATAAATTAATGATTGCTTTTACTTCAGTTCTAATTGATTTCAAATTTTATTTAAAAAAATCTGAAAGCTTTCAGATTTTACATTACGCCTACAGAGACTTTTTTTAACGTTTTATGTGTTGCCTTTATTTATTAAATATCATGTTCTTCGCACTTAAACCACATAATTCTATTCACAGCAATATCTCAAAATAATTTTAAAATGAGCATATTTTTGGAATTTCCGATACACAGTCTCGCGCTGGAGATAAAAATGATTTTTTTTTCTTACAGTGTTGCCATTCCTCGCTTTGAAATCGTTGAGTTTGTTACTCAAAAATTCCTTAAAAGTTTTACAAAATATGAAATCGATAATAAAACAAATTTCACATTTCCAATTTGGGATTTCAGATGCCCATATTCGCAGTAGGATTACGTCATTCAAAATTTGATGGCTCTAGGTACCGTTGTTTTATCACAATCCGAGCGACAAAGCTGGATATAAGATGGCACAATGTCACGAGTCTCGAATCTGATGCAGTATTCTGATGATCGTCAGTGTCTGGAGGCTCCGAGGAGACCGCACGTCCCCTACTTGCATTAGATTCCGGCAAAGGAGCTCTGCACCTGGTGTGATGGTTTGGGCAGCCATTGGGTACATGACATGTACACTGTGAAAAAAAAAATGGGACAGTTCTATAACGTCCGTTCTACTGAGCCGATTGACGAAATTCAAACTGCGTTTTTCATGTCTCGAAAGCGCGACTTATATATTAGATTATAGAGATATATTATACGATATATATTAGATTTATATATAGCATTATTTTAACATAGGTATTTTAACACAAAATGGGACTTTTTCTGAAATAACATGCCAATTTTTTTTTTCATATTTCGATTCTACGACTCAAATTATGTCTAAATATTAAATTTTGTAAAATTTGGTGCAAAATTTATGGAGAAATTCAAAAATTTATTTGGCGTTATCTTTTCAGTTTGCGTGAAGAATAGTTCACTTGGCGAACTTCTTAATATATAGCAACCTACTTTCCTTTCCCTTTTTACATTGTGCGTGAGTGGAAAAAAAAGTCACATCGTTCTTTCTTTCAAATAATATTTTTACATTATATTTTTAATTATAATTGTTATTATTTTTAATATTTTTTTTCTTTTTCGAATTTCATTTTAATTGTTTAAGTTGCAAGGTTTCTTTCAAATAACTGTTTTAAAAATTTATATATACTCATTCGAACTGCGTAGTTTAAATAAAAGATGCATAGTTTTTTTTTTTAATATTTTTTTCTTTACTTTTTAGGCATAGTTATTATTTTAGGTAATTTTTAAAATTTTTAGCCTTTTATTTAAATCTTTTGTGTTGAATTGTCTCTTCATATAATTGTTTTAAAATTTTCTATTCATTCATTTGAATTACGCATTTTAAATATACTTATTAATATAAATTTTCTAGAATTTTATTTTATTTATTTGAATTTGATGACTCCTCTAGGTACCCTTGTTTTATCACAATGCAAGAAACGTATATACATGCATGCAGATTCTTCATTATTAAATTTCTTGAAATATAATGCAGGATAAAGAAGTAGATAAAGATAAAGGATAAAGGGCTCCTTTATCTTTCGGAAGAATACTTTGTGACCCAGACTACGATGCGTTTGAAAACTGCATATATTAAAAGAGAAAATACAGTAAAGCACAGTTAACACGAATTTCAATGTTCCGTTCAGAACAAATATATAAATAAGAGAGACGGTTAAGAAAAAACATTCTTGTTAGTTCTTGTTTCTTAAGAAAAACATTCCTTCTTCATAAATTACTTGTCCTTTTACCTTTTAACTTCTTCTTATAAAAGTTAAATAAATTTCTCTTTCTTCTTTGTAAAATCTTCCTGTAAGAATTAAATGCTTCATTTTCATAGGTAGCCTCCATATTCTTTAAGGGAACAGTTGAAAGATCTGCGCTTTAGATTTACTTTTACCCTTAAATCGTATTGCTTCTTTATAAATTTCTTCTTCTGCATAGTAAATGCATATTTTAAAATTCAATGCCATTATGAATGTATGGTATTTCCCTGAATAAATAAATTTATTTATTATTATTTTTATTTGACATATCTTAATATCACGATTTATTACATACGTTTCATATGTATAATTAGAGGTAATTTTGAAAGCAGAATCCTTTAAATGATATTTATTTTTTAGCATTTGAATAAATTATATAACTTGACATAGGTCTGTTCCTAGTCTTCCTAGTATTTGCATTGTTTTCCTGAGTTTTTGTACTATATATTTTTGTTTAACTAAAAAATTTTTAAACGCTTCAATATCTGTAGAAGGCTGCTATAGATCGAAATACAATTACTGTAGATATTCCATGGCATATATCACACTTGAAAATTATTCTGAAGTCAACAGCAATTTTAAAATGGCAGAATGAGTGGAACAATAGTGATACTGGTAGAAGAACTTTCCTACATTTTACAAATGTTGACGTACAACGGCTCATCACAAACCCTCAATTAGTCCGTTATGTCTCAGGCCACGGACCATTTCCAACAATGTGATATTTGTAGAATCTTCCTGTAAGAATTAAATGCTTCATTTTCATAGGTAGCCTCCATATTCTTTAAGGGAACAGTTGAAAGATCTGCGCTTTAGATTTACTTTTACCCTTAAATCGTATTGCTTCTTTATAAATTTCTTCTTCTGCATAGTAAATGCATATTTTAAAATTCAATTGCCATTATGAATGTATGGTATTTCCCTGAATAAATAAATTTATTTATTATTATTATTTTTATTTGACATATCTTAATATCACGATTTATTACATACGTTTCATATGTATATTTAGAGGTAATTTTGAAAGTAGAATCCTTTAAATGATATTTATTTTTTAGCATTTGAATAAATTATATAACTTGACATAGGTCTGTTCCTAGTCTTCCTAGTATTTGCATTGTTTTCCTGAGTTTTTGTACTATATATTTTTGTTTAACTAAAAAATTTTTAAACGCTTCAATATTTGTAGAAGGCATGTTTATATGAAAATCTTTGGTTAACGGACAGTTCGTGATATAGTGTTCAGGCGTTCCTGTTTGACCGCAACTGCATGTATTGGTGTGTGAAATACCAAATCTTTCGAAATAGGTTGGAAATGGTCCGTGGCCTGAGACATAACGGACTAATTGAGGGTTTGTGATGAGCCGTTGTACATCAACATTTGTAAAATGTAGGAAAGTTCTTCTACCAGTATCACTATTGTTCCACTCATTCTGCCATTTTAAAATTGCTGTTGATTTGAGAATATTTTTCAAGTGTGATATAGGCCATGGAATATCTACAGTAATTGCATTTCGATCTATAGCAGCCTCTTTAGCTAATTGATCTGCAGTTTCGTTTCCATGTATACCAGAATGACCTTTTATCCATGTAAGGGTTGTGTTAAGTGAAGCATTATTTTGTAAATCATTTTGTATTGCTGCAATAATTGGAGAGGTAGTTTTCGGATCTTTGAGTGCATAAAGTGTGGAGAGGCTGTCAGATTGGATAATAGTATTATATAAATGATGTTCCTGAATATAATTAATTGCATATTTTATTGCTGTTGCTTCGGCTTAGAATACGCTATTGTTTCTATGAAGCTGTCTCTTCCATTGGTGAATTAAAGATTCGTTGGAAAATATTGCAAAAGCCGAACCAACATTGTCCTCTATTTTAGATCCGTCTGTATAGATTTTAAAATCAATATTTGAGAGTGCATGTTTGTTATTGATTACAACTTTGATACACTGTCCTTTTTTAGATGGATGAATTTCAAGACAGTATGGTTTTTCTTCATAATATAGAGGTGAAAATTGTTGCTGATTAAAAATGGCTAGTTTTCTTAGAAGTTTAACTTCTAACTTTGTTGCATAGTAGCTTCTAATTCTGTGCTAATATGAAGTGGTAATAAGCCTGCCAAGATATTTATGGCATTGGATGATGTTGTGCGGTAGGCTTTAGTTATGTTCAGTGCAAATGGCCTTTGTATACTTAAAAGATGTTTTACTTTGCGTCCCTGCATAGGATTTGCCCAAATGGCTGCACAGTATGTGACAATCTTTTCTACGACTGTAGAGTAGAGAATTTTTTGAATATGGGGATTTAATCCCCACTGATGTCCTTGCATTTGACGTAGCTTTGTTGCTATGTTTTTTGAGTTTTATAATATGGGGGATCCAATTCAGTTTTTGGTCAAATGTGATCCCTAGATATTTAAGTTGATTTACTATTTTAAGACGAATATCTTGTAGACGGATGGTAGGACGACGTGATAAAGATCCATTTTTTTTTTTTAGGTATAAGGAGAACCTGAGATTTATTTTCTGCTATTTCCAGCTTAAGATCTTGGCAGAGGTTACTAAAAATATTGCAAGTTTCATTGGAATTATTTTGTAAATCTCTTCTTGTGCGTCCTTTAACAATAAATGCGGCATCATCGGCATAAGCGTATACCTTAGTGTGGCATGGCCAATTAGTTTTTAGTATTTTGTCAAATGTTAAATTCCACATATCAGGGCCCGCACATGAGCCCTGCGGGCAACCTCTAGTTTGACGTTTTGTTATTATCCCATTATTTTTTATGATTATCAGGTGACGATCTGAGAGATAGTTATTAAATATTTTGAATAAATTAACAGGGCATTTAGCCTCTCGTAGTGCTTGACGGATGGCCGGCCACCACAAAGTATCAAAAGCATTTTTTAAGTCTATGCTAATAAAAGCTGTATGAAGGCCATTATTGCGATTAGTAAGAATATCATCTGTAATATTTGTAAGAGCATGTACCGAAGATTTACCTGGTCGAAAACCATATTGTTGTTCACTAAGATACTTTATCTTGAAAAGATGATGTTTAAGTCTATTTATTAAAAGTTTTTCAAATACTTTACCTAGTGCCGACAGTAGACAGATTGGACGATAAGAGCTGGCTAGTTGAGGGTCTTTGTTTTTCTTTAGAAATAATATTACTTGTCCAATTTTGAAGGCTTTGGGAAATAGACCTGCATTTAAAAGCTTATTGAAGTAAATTTTGAAAAAATGCAGTTTTGAATTTATTAGAACCCTAATAATGTTATAGTCAATTCCATCAGAGCCGGGTGCTCGTTTTTTAGGTAGAAAGTTGATGATATTTTTAATCTCTGTGGTGGTAATTTCAACGTCTTCATTAGATGAAGGTAAAGTCGTTGTATTTCTGACTATAGTATGTACAGAAGTGTCTTGAGTTATGTCATCTTCTGGAAAAACTGTTTCTAAAATATGGTTAATAGTAGCATCTGGAAGATTAAATCCTTGAGAATTTGTCGGTGAAAGATATAATTTGATTGGTTTGAAGAGTTTATCTGTGGTTATTTTATGGTGAAACCCATAAATTTCTTTATTTTCGGTGCAGTACTTATGCCAAGAATTAATTTTGGCTTGCAATATCATCCTTTTATAAGTAGCTTTTTCTCGCTGATAAATTTGTAATACATTTGATTGTATCATTTGGCGCCTTTCGGATTTTAGTTTTCTACGTAAGGCTCTGCACTTCTTTTGCTGAATTCTTAACTCTTTTGTCCACCATTTTAATGATTACAATTTTTTAGATTGGCGCTTTGGGAGGATTTCATTGCATATATGTTGTAAATTATTTAGCAGAAGTTCGGTAAGATTTTCAAGTTCTTCAGGTACTCTATGTTTTGTAGTTGTTGCTCGTGAATTGAAAGGATGTTTTTTTATTTTATTAGAGAGTATTGGAATTTTATTTTTTGGCAGAGTGTATCGTTTTATTACTGGAACAGATGTGCTCTCTTCAAGTTGAAATGTAATAAATTTATGATCAGATAAGCTTTGTTCTTCTTCTACTGCCCAGTTTTGGATGAGAGGGGCCATTTGTGGTGTAGTGAGAGTGAGGTCCGGCCATCCTATTGCATAACTATTATCAAAAGTAGGTGGAGCATCTATTGTATTGTGTATGAATAGATTTTTAGATGAGATAAAATCTTCTAAATTTCGACCTTTTGGATTTGTTGATGCATATCCCCAGGTAATATTATGTGCATTAAAATCTCCGCATATAATTTGATGATGAGTATTTGTTGAATTGAAAATCTTTTCTAGAAAAGCAAATGTTGCTGTGAGGTCGTCTGTAGGGCTTGAATAAATAGAAATGAAAATTATTGAAATATTTTCTATTTCGAGAAGAATCGCCATTTGATCTCGTTCTGCAGCTATTATGTACGGTGTCCAATTTTGATTACAGCATATTATTGCAGCTCGGGGTGGTTGTATTACGTCTTCTTTTTGTATAATATTCCATGTACATGGAAAACCAGATAATTTTCCGTTTTTGGTGTATGGTTCTCGTAATAGTATTATGTCAGCTGTGTAGTTGAGTGCAAATTCAACACTTTTGTGCTGATGCTGATTGAGCCTTTTGTAGATTGATTTGCAGACATCGTATTTGCTTATTTTGTTGTTGGTGAGCTATGTTTATAGTCTTAAAGTTCTGTATATTCTGTTCAATATTTTATGGCATACATGCTGATAAACTACACATTGTTTTCTTGTTGGTAATTTAAGGATTGAGCAGTATAAACAGTTGTTTCTTCCTATTCAGTTCTCTTTTTGATTTTGTTAACTTGGTGCAAATAAGAAGGACAATTTGGAGAAGCAGCTGTGTGGTTGATATCAAATTTAGTGTAATTTGTTTTGTTGTTAAGTTGACAGTTAATGCAAGTTGGCGTTTCTGCTAAACAATCTTTTGCGTAGTGGTTTTGACCACAAAAGAAACAGTAGGGTCTTACTTTACAGTCTCTGTTTGTATGACCGAAGTCCTGACAATTGTAGCAACGTTTTATACTGTAAAATTCTCTTATTTTACAACTTATGCATCCCAATAGAATTTGTGAATGCTTCAGGCAAGATTTGAAGGCGTTTGGGGTGCAACTGACAACCCATCTCACTAGATCCCTGGATTTGTCAGAAAGTTTAAATAGTGTTTTCAGATCTTGACTGTCACAACCTGCTGTCATTGAAAGTTGACTAATTAAGATATCAGTGGAGATATCGCTGGGAATATTGTCGATAATTATTTTTAGAATCCTTTTTTGAGCTATTCGGTAGTACACTAAATTAGATGCCTCTTCATTATTAGCAATGGCGTTTGAAATCTTAAAAATGTCATCCTGTGAATGACAGGAAACAGCTATGCCACGTTTCCTTGTTCGGATAATTCTTTTCACTGCAACACCTTGACTCACCTTGCCTCACCGGGTAAGGGCCGTTTTAGCTGCCAGGAGTGGCAGCTGTTTCTACTAATTTCTCAACCAAACTGCTCATAATTAAAATTTTGTCTTCATGCCATACTGTTTAAGTTCAATAAATATCTTTTTTGTATTTCCCTTCCTTCATGGTGCTGCAGTTTTAATGTCCAGCAGTGTATATAGTGTGTGCTTGCGTAAAATATATATATATATAAATTTTGTAGATACTTGATGATTCTTTACGTACAGAATAATAGAGTTGCGTAGATTCCTAAGGTGTATAATGGAGAAGGAAAACTTGCAGACGTTGGCGTAGGTAACAAGACACAATGTTATTTTTTTATAACTAATTCTGAGAACACTCATTCTCATTTACACATCATTATAATGTACATGTTTACTAAGGATGCTAAGCATCTCACAATTTTTCGCAGTATATCACATTTTTTAGACAGTGGACGACATAGAAAACAAAGCAATGCAACAACATTTCTTTATACATTCTGAAGAAGGCAGGCAAAGTGAGTGTGCACTTCAGCAAAATGTATTTATAGACTTAATTCCTTTACTTAAATTTTGAGCTGTAATTGTACAAGAAGTATCCGCAATGCTACTCTTACGTAATGGTGCAATGTGGATTATTTTTCATATGAAGCAGCCAAATTAAAACGAGGAATTAAAAGGACTATATCTAAATTAAAATTAGTAGTTTTCTTTCATGTTTTATGTCTCACATACACATGTAAGTGTGTGAAAGAAAGTTTTGTTTGGGAATTCAAAACTTTCCTGTTTAACTCTTTCCTGTAGTAAAATATATATAAATAATGAGCAATTTAAAATGCAAAGTGTTCCCTATGAAATAATATATTTTACGATGCATACGAATATAAAAATTTATCTACTTACATCCATTTGCTTTGGCCAAAACAATAATGAGAAACATATTCCAACTTGAAGAACTTTCAGTGCATTCAAGGTGATTATCGAAGATCTGTAAATAAAACTGCTATGAACTAATAATTTATAAAATTTTTATTTGCATAGAAAATATTGTTATAACATGCATAATAGATTTATGAAGGAATTTTTCTCAAATGATTGGAAATTTCAACTATTTCAATAAAGGAAACGAAGGTGATAAATAAAGTACAATAAATTATAAATAAAACTTCTGTAAAAAATAGAGAGGACATAGAAAAATAAAAATAATGATATACAAATTCTGCATTTCCTTCGCAATGAGAGATATCCAAATAATGCAGGATGCCTCCAAAAGTACTTCTTGATTCGAAGTTGTAAAATCAGAACTTAATGGACGTTAAAACATTTCTTTCTATAATTTAGAAGTCAAACAAGAAAAATGAGCTTTATATTTGCAAATTTTCACAGGATTAGTTTCGATGGTTTTACTGAACCAACATCCTCAGCTGCCAAAGTGCAAATGAACGAGATAAGATAAAAATGGCTGGACACGAGATAAGCTACTAGCTCCTTCTATTCATGAAACAAGAAAACTAAAACATAATTTCCTTAAAGGTGAAGGTACAGGAGGATTGGAATTAGGGTAGTGAACTAGAATAAAAATATTTTTTTGAAATAGAAACGCCTCAAGAAAATCTAATTCACCAAGGAAAAATGTTTTTGAATAATTTTGGCTGCTGTAAAATGGAAAGCGTGATTTTCGAACCAACAATGCTGGGCTGCAGAGGACTTTTGTGTTTCCTTTTTTCTAACATATGCCTCATGTTCCTTAACGCGAAATTTTAAGGCTCTCTTAGTTTGACCAATGTAAATTAAACCACACTGTCAAGGAATCCCGTAAATACTCCAGGAATTCACATCCGAAAAGGGGTCCTTAAAGTATAGAACTCGGAATTTGATTGATAGGAGAATAAAAAGTTAAATTTCTATAAAATACGTGCAATTTTATAGCTAATTGATGGAAAGAAAGGAATGACAACAGAATTCTTATAATCTCCTAAAACAAGAGTGTGCCTTTTGGTGTGATGAGGTGAGAATTTTTTCTGCTTGGATGTAAAGCCCATGCCAATAACTTCTGCTTTTAAATAATTTAGTTCTTGATCAAGAGCCAATTTGGAGCAGCAAACCTGAAGTGCACGGAAAACAAAGGAATAAAATGAAGCTACCTTTTGTTTAGTCGGAGTGTGGTGGAAGACAAACCGATGAAGGTTTAAGATAAACCGTAGTACTGAAGTTGAATGAGATCAAAATGTGTGAATGTGACCAAAACGTCAAGGAATGGAAGAGAATCGCTGTCTCAAGTTCAAAAGTTAACTGTTTAGCAGGATCAATGGAATTCATTTTTGAAAGTACTTTATTTAAATCATCTTTATTACCGTCAAACAGGGTAAAAGTATTGTCTACGTAGCGGAACCATACCGAGAAGTTTAAAGTTTCAAATCATTTAGATTCATAATAATGCATGTAGATATCAGCCAGGACGGGACTAAAAGGACTTCCCATGGGTAATCCCTCAGTCTGCTTCTAATACTTATTTTGGAAAACAAAATGCGTTTGTCTCAAACAGAGTTGAGTAAGGGGAAATTAGCTCATCAATTTCGATGCTGAAGAAATGAAATTCACGAAGTTTAATTTTTAGACATCTTAATGCACCCTCCACTGGAACATTAGTGAACAAGGATTTTATATCAAAAGAAATCATGAATAAATTTCTATGAGAAATGTTTTTAACTTTTTTTTACAAACTGTATTGAATTTTTTATGGTGTAAATGTTATTATCTACTTGTACTCATCAGTTTGGCTCTCCTCAAAATTCATAATAGTGGCATTCCTTTCCGCCCTATTGTATTCAATATTGTTGCGCCTTATTTAGGCACTGCCTCTTACCCGTTAGCTAAATATTTAGTTTCTAAATTTTGAACTCTATTAGATAATATCATTTACGCCATAAAAACTACACATAAATTTAAACCTCTGTTGCCCAGCATTGTTGGTCCGAAAATCACACCTTCCATTATTCTGCAGCCAAAATTATTCAAAAAACATCTTCCATTGGTGAATTAGATTTAAGGAAATTATGTTTTAGTTTTCTTGTTTCATTAATACATGGCGCTAGTAGCTTAACTCTTGTCCAGCCATTCTTATCTTATCACTATATCTTATTTGGTTCATTTGCACTTTGGCAGCTGAGGATAATGTTTCGTTAAAATCATCGAAATTAGTCCTGTGAAAATTTGCAAATATAAAGCTGGTTTCTGTTGTTTTATTTCTAAATTAATATTTGTTCGGCGCGTTATTTTACCTTAGTTTCATTCTTTCTTTAGTTGCAGAATCCTAGTACTACTAGAGAGATGTAAAATTGTTTGGAAGGATTCACTTTTCCCCTTATCCGCATATTGTATGTGATCATTTTCCTATTTACATGAAAGGCTGTCTTATTCACTAAAATAATATTTCACAGTATGTTATACGTTACCGTTAAAGTGCGGAAATCAGTTATTCCCAGGTTTATCTAACTAATCTGCAGATTAATTAGGGTGATCCGTTAAAGTGTGAAAATTGTTTCAACTCTCAAATTTACTAGGTAATCTGCAAATTACCCACTAAGCATTCGTTAAAGTGACAAGAAAAAATATTTTAAATAAATATATTCACTCACATCTTATATTTCAAGATATCCTAATAAGCTCTAGGTTATAATAAGCTCTGAACAGGTTAGGTTATTTGAATAAGAAAAAATATTTTAAATAAATATATTCACTCACATCTTATATTTCAAGATATTCTAATAAGCTCTGAACAGGTTAGGTTATTTGAATATGGCAAAGCACATGAAGGCTATCTGCCTTAGAGAAGGGATGCCTTTGTGAAGGATTTTGTAAGGGAAACTGGCTGATATTCATATTGCACGTGGAGAAGACCCCGAAAACTAACCACGCAGCCAGCTCATTGTCCTGGGAATGAAGCCAGGTCGAACTCTCAGCATTCAGCTGTCTTATCCGCTCAGCCACTGAAGAAGCTTATGTATTGTTCATCATAGACTGCATGGTCGCATTTCAAGCGTTATGGGGCTGGAAATCATTCATATAATGAAACGCTGGAAATCATTTATAAAATCTGCCCCTTCATACCCACCGCCTTAGGATAGGCCATTTTCTAGAGCATGTGTAAAAGCAGTGGTTTCTGCAGTCCTCTATTATTCTTTCTGCATTCCATTTATTTTTCTATTTATATTTAGTATTTTTTCATGCATTTGGTTTGTATAAATTTTCCGGCTTTCGCATGGCTAATTAATATTAGACCTGCAAATTTGAGTTACTTTTGGCTCTTTCAAACGATGTATGTTACCTTTTGCCAAAGAGACAATGGTCTTACTTCTTTACTCCCTCTTCTCTCATTCTTTTAGCGCAATCCTCAGCTCCAGACATATTAGTTACGTCGTCTTATATTCATTAGATCGACAGTGCACAAGATCGACACGGTGTGTATCATCACACTACAGAATTGACACCTTGGCATACAACTGAAGTCATACTTGGCATAAAAGGGGCAAACAAAAACGAAATTTTGCAGAATTGTCACAGCAATAAGATCGACACTGTACACAGCTGACAGGTAGAGATATTAACACGAAGGACACTAGCTTTATACTATTAGTCATCACATAACTAGTTTAACCATTAAACAATATAAGCATTTGCTTAAGGCATTAAAGAAAGGAACTCAAGAAAAAGAGCATCACAGAAATTTCCCATCGCTGGTTTTACCGTAGAATATATAATACAACTAAACCAAGAACTAAAAAGAATGAATGAGGGGGGGGGAATAGCATAAACGCATATAAAGACAACTAAAATATTTTATGTGCTTAGGGCTTCTAAAAGCCATAATCCGGCTCTGTCTCATCAGGTATACTTAAGCATCATTTTGGGAATGAATACACGGTAAATGCATTGCGGAATAATGAACTGGGATGCTTGTTTCTATATTTGCTAATAATGCAGATTTTATAAAACTAGTACACTTGGCTAGCTTGAGGGTGCGCACATGTCTCTTTGTACAGCAGCAGTTCTCCTCATAGCGTATATTATCTTGGACATTTTGTTATTAAGTATTTTTATACTATATGGTTTCTGCTAGCAGGGATTGCAGCGCAGGTCTTGGACAAGTGGACACGTGAATATGATGGTTAGAATACTCTCTTTCTCCACAGACTTGATCGTTGCTTATGATGTTTCTCGCATAGTTATTTGATAAAGGAACCATGACGTGTAATATATTAGTTTACGCAGAAATTAATGTATGATTTGGAGATTATCAACTTAGAGAATAAATTCCTGGAGTTTACAGTATGGGAATAAGTGAGTCGAACACCAAAACTTCACCAGTTACTTTACCTATATAGTTCAAACGAACATACTGTACAGCTCAGTGTAGTTTTGATGAAGAACAGCACTTGGCGCCACACAGATAGTACACAAATAGTATTTTAAATGCCCCCATGCCACAGAGAGAGTATACAACTACAAACTTCCAACCTTCTTCAAAATTCACACCCGTGCCATACGCCAGGTATCCAGCATCGCTAAACGTTAAGCCAGTCTAAGTTCCTGAAGATTTATGTTTTTAGTAGAATTCTATGCCAAGCAAGGTTGAACCGAATTAACAGGTACAGGTTGAAGCAAGGCAGGCATCTGTACATTCCCATTGGTATATATTAGGTACTGCCGGTGGCAGAATTAACAATCGCATATCATTGACATGATGTAGTATTTTAACACAGATATCGCATTGACGCTGCATAGAATCGATATTTATATAATATCGGTATGGCGTAAGATCGGCTTTAGCATACAACGGCATAAGCATGGTTTAAACAATGCTACTAATTAGGAAGACTAATTTGAGGGAAATTATAATTAAGAATGAAAGAATTGGTTTAAATTAATTGTTTTAGTCTACCTGTATAGCATAGACACCTGTATAGAATCTATATAGACATTGAAACCGCTTTCTGAGCTATCATGTCGATGATGTACCAGTAAACAAGCTGTTGATGCTACAGTGTTGACCATTTCCATTGTCACGTACCTTCAATGATCTTATTTCCACTCTGGTGGAAATATCGCACACTGCATCATATTCGCGATTAAATCATCAAGTTCATTGGACATGCACTGACAATTTAACTATTCATCAAATTCCATAAGGCTTCAAATCGATCGATATATGAATGAGGAGAAAACAGACATCAATATCTGTCTTTGCGTTGCGAAGGAACATCATATATGGGGAAGCAGAAAGTGCCTTCCAGCACTTAAATAGGCTGAAAAAGTTTCTTTTGGTATATTCTATGATCTCTTGAAGTTTGCCGCACTAGTTTTGGAAAACTATGCAAAAAAAAAAAAAAAAGTTTGTGCGACGCAAATATGCTCATGTAAGTCCATTTATTAGGTAAGTGATGAGCTCATTTAGTTCACAGACCACCAATGAACTGGAATTTCAAGTCTTCTTCGAAGAGGTGTCCAAGAAACTACACGCATTGCTACTAAATCCATGACTTTTTAATACTTAAAATAAATATCATATTTCTTTGCATTCATAGGAAAGCAAAGTTGATATCAAACACGAACAACAGAAATAGTTAAATAATAAGATTACTTAGACAACTAAACACAAAATAGGCATTTTAAACTATTATTACTAACTTCTACAAAAATTTGAAAAATATCTGACAACAGTTACACGTCAGCAGGGCCAACACCAGAGGCGTAACTATGGTTTTCACCGCACGGGGACAACTGAAGATTTTACACCCCTTTCTGTGTGCCAAGAATGGAAAACATTGCATTCTAAAATTTCGTGACATCGATTTGAGCCCTTGGATGCTGCGCCCGGGGACAGATGATCCCCCTTGCCCCACCCTAGCTTCGCCATTGGCCAGCACAATTTTTTTTACTGCTGTCGAATTCTTCTCTTAAATACATTTCAATGTGAGTTTTGCGAATTTACTTTCGTTACTTACCCCAGACAAAGCCGGGTAACATTTTTAATACATTATAAACTTATCAGATAAAGCTTATGAAGAAAATTAAGTCGGCATAAAAAGCAAAAGAATAGAATATTGTTGTACTCAGAATTGAATAGAATATTGCTGAGTATTGTTGTATTGAATATTGTTTTCCTATTTTGTTTGTACCAGCTTTGCATTATTGTGAGTTATATTTCAACAACTTTTCATCTCATTGTATGGTACCATTTATTTTCTGTATCAATATTTTAATTAGTATATTCATTTTGCCACTATTGCCATTTTAAGATAAGAAGTAATCGACGAAGCGAGAAGTGAGTAATATTGTACTAAAAGTTGGAAATTTTTCTTAATTTTTATATTTTACGCATTACGCTCACTATTTGTTTTTAGCATATTTGTTTTTTACCTTGTTGTTTTAATGTATTACAAAAACATTGGTGGAATCCATGTCTTCTTACTGATTGGTTGGATACTCATCTTGACTTCATTTTTACAAATCATGTATATATTTCATTTCTACATATTTTTTCCAGTTTGTGAGATCTTGGCTCTTCATAAAAGAAAGCTTAAAAACTAATCGCTTTTAAAATATACCTGACATAGCACCATAATCGAATGACATTAAGAAATTTACTATCAAATTTGACAATTTTCAAAGCATATTTTAGACAAATTCAAAATTAACTGGACAACATTTCACTGAATAAAAATAAAAGAATCTTAAAATTGGATCAATGATTTTCATTTTTGAAACTGCCTTAAATTTATAGTACTTTTCTATCAGATGCATATAAGAATTAAACAATAAATTAAAGTTTTTAAAAATGTATCTTTGCTTTCTGAAAAAATTCAGAATTTCATATTATATGAAATTCATTATATCCATAACTCTTCATATTATATATGACATTACATTAATTAGAATGAAAAAAGCTCGTTGCAATTAAACCATTTATGTTTTATTTTATTCAATACATGAACTAATATACTGATAATTTACTTTTATCTCAATTTAAATTTAAAAGATTTCTACAATTAAACCAACATATTGTTCTAAAATTATTGACAAGCTATCACCAAAAGTATAATGTATGAAAAATAATTAAAATTTTTTTATTCTAATGAAATCAAAAAATTAAAAATTAAAAAAATTTCACAAGAAGTCTAATTTATTGAGGGGAGAAATAAACCATAATTCATAATTATTTTGAATATGTTATTCTTTAATAATTTGTTCGTTATTTTTTAATAATTTTAAAATGATAATGCACAAGACTACCACACAGCATAGAAAATAAAAATGGTTTAGAAACATGGCTGTTCATTTTAAGTAAATTTCACTTCGGGAATAGGAATTTCGACACTAGGACTTAAGAAATTGATTATCAAATCCTTATATTATTTTCTTATGAAAAATTCAACATACATTTTCATGCTCAGAACAAGAATTCATTATAGTATTAAAACATTCCACTGAAGTTTTGCACTTGTCTACTCCTAGTTTTACATTTTCAAGTTGTTTCTTGATGTTCTTCATTCTTCTATCAGCAAAAAATAATTGCTACAACAGGAGTAAATAGAGCAGAACATTAAATGAAGTATCATCATATAATGTACAATAAGTTAAGCAGTTATAAGCTAATTTAAAAAGCAGTATCATTAGTTTAAGAACAAATATTACAATATATGTATAACACAGAAATGTATAAACATAAAAAATAAGATATAAAATCTCCCAACATTGTTGCAGCACCTCCTAAAAGTATACACGAGAAAATATCGAATATGATAAAATAAAATGACTGATCAAGAAGCACATTATTTAAGTACAATAAACTTCCATTCAGAAATGCTCTAATGCACAAGTTATTAATTATGTATCACTAGAATATAAATTACATATCGATATACTACCATGGCTGTAGTAAATGAATTTTATGCCATATTTGACTACATTTTAATGTAAGTTTAAATATTCTGCTTGCTCAAAATTACCCATATGCATCTCTCATCGCCCACATATTAGGCTTGAAATAGCAAAAGCCTTCACAAGACAGACCTTCCAAAGTCATCATCTTGGCCTTCCAAATTTAATCATTTTTGTCTAAAGCACAGGACTTGCTAGTAAGGGACATACAAATTTTACCAAAAATTCAGACGTCGTTCTACTTTTTTTTTCCAATCAATAATGTGAGATAATAACGCTTATGAAAAATGTAACTGAAATGCAAAGATGGTTGTATGCAGTATTTTTGACATCCTTTTCTTTGATTTACATCAAACTGACAAAACTATTTCAAAATCTGGCCGCATCAAAGATAAGTAGTCTACATATTTTAAGCACAGTTGTTCATATATTCAAGTGATTCCGAATAGTGTTATCTAAAATGTTCTGATAAATCTTTGAATTTACTACGGGAGAGGCCTTAAAAAAACTTTGATTACACAAGACCGGCATCAGCTTACAAGAATCATTTTGTGCGATAGAAATAACGGATTCCAAATACCTCTTCGGTTCACCAACAAATTATCTGAACAAAAAATGCCTAGGATTATGAAACGTACTTTGAGTTACGAACACTCAGTTTGGCAATACATGATTTTATAAGATGTTTAGAGATAAGCTATACACATAATTAACACTCAGGGCCTTCTCATTAACAATGCCTGCAACAAATGTCTTATAAGACAAAGAATTCGATAAGTGGAAATTGGAAATCACGTTCAGGCCGAAGTCTTTGCGTTGTAAGTTGCTAATATTGTAGAAAAAAACTATTAACTAGGAAGTTAAAATTAAGTCGTTTTACCAGAGGACTATCAAATGAGCTCAAGAGTAGAGAACAAATTCAGAAGCAGCAACGATTGGAAAATTATCTTCAGAAGAAGGGGAAGAAGGAGAAAAAATTACCCTAATTTTCTGATCTGCGAAATGTGTGCAAAATTGGGATAAGACGCAAAGTTTTCACATAGCGACACCACCCTGATAGAGCTGTAGCAAGCTATTTTCAGTGACAATGCAGTGTCACTTTAAAAACATTTTAAAACACAGGAAACAGCAAATATATCTGGACAAATTTTGAGTAAAATAGAGGCTCAGTAAGTCTTAAACAGAATCAGGTAGCGCTTAGAGACAAAGAAAATATAAAAGAAGATGCCCCTTAAAGACAAATGTTAGAGCTTTCTACTAATGTTTTCATGGAAGGGAATTTTGCATCTAAACAATAACATCTTTCCACTAATTTTCCAATTATGTCGTCTGCTTCGTACAGGAACAGTAAAATTAGATTAAGTTTTAAATTTTCATCTTTTTTAACTACTTAACATTGTGTTCTTCCCCTCCCCCACTTTAATGAATTCTATTCATTTCGTGACATGCACTTGTGCACAACGTACTGCTGTAAAGTTTAAATAAGCAATCTCCTGTAATTCAGAAATGAATTAACTTTTTTTTTTTTTTTTTTTTTTTTTTTTATTTATTTCTGTAGCGAAATTTTTTTGGTTGATAAACATTCAGCTTTCAAGTACGACTTGAGTTCGTGTAGTGATTTTTCACTGTACGACACTACTTCTGATACCGCATTTCAATTCTGGTCCTCAGTAAACACCAAATGCGAAAGGTGGTTCTAATTCTAAATGAAGTGAAATACTTCAACAATCTACAAAAATAATCATTTTATTTACAAAGCAACTTTCGTTGCATCGAATGTTCACTGCTAACTAACTACGTCGCAAACTAAAAACTAACATTCCTTTTCAGAAGCGAAGCGCCCTCTAACGGCGATACATAAATCATTTGGGGGATTTTCCACACTCCCCACCTGATAATTTCTGCAAAAATTATCACTATTTCAGCATACAAATAATAAAATATAAGAAAGCAACTTACATATCAAATACATTCAACTGATGTAAATATAAACTGCAAAAAAGAAATTCTATAAAATAAACAAATATAGTTAACTGCATCAACTCAAATGTTACTCAATACGTAAATATTAATTCAATTACAAACAGTAAATTATTAGTAATAACTAAACTAATTATCTAAAATTAATGTTAGTGAATATGAAATACAAGAAGTAAAATTAAAAGGTTACAAATTTAGTTCATTTTCAGTCTGATAGTTCAAGGGGTATATCAATTGTATAGGTCTCTTAAGGTCCCCTTTTTTAGTTTTTACCACACATGATCGTACAAGACCATCACGTCCTTTGAAGACTTGAATTACTCGACCTAAATCCCAGAGGAACTTAGATTTAGTTGTTCCTTCAAGTAAAACTATATCACCATTTTTAAAGATTTTTCTTGGCTTCTGGTGTACCGAAGAAGTGAGCATTTCTCAACTCAAGAAGATACTGATTTTTCCATTTTTTCCAGAACTGTTTATAAGTGTTGTCTGATATTCTTTTCGTTTTATTAGACTCTTTCTTGTTGGAGAGTTATTCAGGATCTCAGCAAAGTTGTATGGATATCATCCTTATGTCCGATTCAATAGAAAATTAGCCGGTGCAAGCGGTTCAGGTTCATGTAAATCGTTGTAAACGTAGGTCAAAGGACGTCTATTCACAATATTTTTTCGACTTCTGTCAACACAGTCATAAATTCTTCAAAATTCCAGTTTGAGCTCTGCCTAATATCTTTTTCAAACGGTTCCTTTATGGTTTTCATAAGGCGTTCATAAAAAGCTCCCCACCATGGAGCAAGCTCGACGATAAATTTCCAAGTCAAAAGCCTTCATTTGCTAGAAAATTTTCAAAAGTCTGCTACCTTTAATTATGCTGTAAAAATACTGTAAATCTTTGGCATCATATTTGAAAGTTTTCGCGTTATCTGAATAAAAGGTGCGACAGATTCCTCTTCTCGAAATGAAACGTCTGAGAGCCAAAATGAATTTGTTTGCAGACATATTGGAAATGAGTTTCTAGATGTAACGCTCGTGTAACAGCGCACGTAAACAATACGATGTATGATTTCTGAATGTCGTTTCCAGACTTGATGTAAAACTGGACCCTGTGAAATCCACATTTGCCTGTAACATAGAAAGGTGGAGTTTTCAACAATTCGATCTTTAGGTGACTGAGCTGTCATTTGTTTCGCTGACGTTTTTACTGCGTATTTTCCGACAAATTAAACAGTTTCCCTAAGACTTTTTTTCTTTACCAACTGGAACGGGCCTTTAGGAATCCAAAATTTCTGTCTTAGTTTGGCTAAAGTTGCTGCAACTCCCGCATGCAGAACGTTATTACGTTCCCTTTTTACAATTAATTCAGTAAATTTGGAATCTTTAGGAAGAAGAACTGGATGCTTCTCGTCAACTGTACATTCGGTTTCTTCTAATCTTCCCTTAATTTGAAGAATTTTATTTTCATCAAGAAACGGTGACAAGCTGAATATATCAGAGCTTGGAGAAATTGACTTGTTAGATTGAAGAGCCTTAATTTCAGGTGTGAAGAAATCCATCTGAGATTTACGAACACAAAAAATTTCAGTGTCCTGAATTTCAAAAGCACTTAATGTTCCACTATTAGCAGGCAGTTTTCTTGCCTTAGCAACGAAACGTCTAACCCATGCCATAATTCTGAGATATTTCAGCACATTACTGAATTTTGTTATATCCGATAGTTGATCATCTCTTTTCACAACAATACGTCATAAACAAATATCTTACTACGGAGTTCTAGTTGCTTATCGTGTTTCCCACGTCAAACTTCGGTTGAACTGGCCAGTCTATACGTTTGTTTTATGCAACCATTCTGGTCCAAACCACCAAAGTGAACAATTTCTTAAATTAGCAACAGTAATTCCTCGTGATATGAGGTCGGAGGGGTTATCTTTCCCACGGCAATAATGCCAATTATTGCTTTCAGTTAGTTTCTGAATTTCATAAACTCTGTTTTTGATGAAAGATTTAAATCTTTCGGGAGATCCCATCAATCCAAAAATACGTTATTTGAGAATCAGTCCAGTGGAAGGGGATTACTTCGTATTTTAAAGATTTTGCTATTTTATCACTCAATCTAGCGGATAAAAGCGCACCAAAAGCTCCAATCTAGGAAGTGTAAGGGATTTCAGAGGTGCAACTCTACTCTTGGAAGCAACAAAAACTGTTTGAAAAGTTCCATTGTTCAAAACTATTCTTCAGATATACTACGCATCCTATAAGCTTTCAAACTAGCATCAAAAAAGCTATGGAGTTCTATTTGTTTTACATCTGCATCTAATATTCCCTTCTAAATAGTAGCGGGGAATTCTGAGGTGGTTCAGTTCTCTTCAATTTCTTCGTACCAGGCTTTGCATTTATAACTAAGATCAGGTGGCAGTTCATCGTGTCCCAATCAATTTTGGCAGACCAGATTTCCTGAATCAGACACTTTATTCTTATAGTGAAAGGGCCATAAAATCCGACAGGATCAAAAATACGGCCTGCGGTTTGCAATAGAAAACGTTTTGAGTTGATTGACGAGGAAATGAAATTTTGTCAAGTGCTGAGTGTCAAAATAAAAATTATCATTATCCGTATCCCAGTTAATTCCTAACACTTTGATCGGGACAACTTCAGGAGATTCTTGCATCGAAAATTCTTTGCGATGCCAAATATCTTTGAGTTCTTTGGAATTAGTATGCCACTTATGTGCATACAAAGTCAAAAGACATGCTAAGCTTCATTAAAAATGTTCACAATTTCTAAAACTTGTTTTCAGGGCCTTGTTCTAAATTTTGTTGACCACCAATAATGTCATCAACATACAGGCAGTTGTTTAAGAGTTCTACTGTTTCAGGATATATTTCTGAATATTTTTTAAGGTGATGCTTAATAGTAGCAGCTAGAAGAAAGGGACTAGATTTTACTCCAAACAAAACTCTTGTAAATCTAAAGGTTTTTCAAACTCTCATTGTTATCATTAGGATCATGTTTCCAAAAGAATCGTGTAACGTCCCTGTCTTCTTCATTTAACTCTATCTGTAAGAATGCTTGTGTAATGTCCGCTGTAAAGGCTATCGAATTTTGTCTAAATTTTATCAATAAATCAAAAATATCAGGATATAGGTTCGGACCAGTATATAAACAGTCATTTAGAGAGAGTGTTTTTGGTTTATGGGCTGAAGCATCATAAACTATTCTTAGTTTGCTTGTTGCTCTATCATTTCTGATGACTGCTCTATGAGGTAAATAAAATAGAATAAACTTAGGGTGAAAGTAGGAAATAATATAGGGATATAGCCAATCGATCTCAGCTAGAGTAGCTTGGATGAATTAACAATACAAAGCTTTGTAGTTCGCGGAGATTCAGCAATTTGGATACTAGACGCTTAATTATTAAAAATGAATATTCTGTTCTGACCAGTTATGTTTCCAACTGTTTTCAGCAGATTGAAGAATATTTGTGTGAAGAAAACAGCCCGGATCCCCATATATTTTAACTATAGCTCCAATTACAATAGCAATCCTACAAATTCTAATTTTGAAATTAAATTTTTGAAAATATAGTTTTTTTTTTTTTTTTTTTTTTTTTTTTTTTTTGTTTGTTTGTTTGTTTTCTTGTACTTAGCTATTACTTTGGTCTTACCCAATGTAAAGTTTTTGCTAATTCTTCGTTATTTTTCTAGAAAATTCTTCATTGATATTGGTTTAATACAATTTTCATATTTTTACACATTTGCAATGCTTAGGTAATTTAGCGTTTTCTGATTATTTTGGTTTCTCCTACTGTCTTTGTTTTAGTAACTTACACAAGTTGCTCTTTCTAATTTAAAAAGAAAATTCATTAAAATGTTTTAATTTTTTTCATCATTTTTCATAATGTAGATTTATAATCTTTCTTCAAGTAATAACGCAAACTAGAGGGCCAGGCAATAAGCTTTTAGGTTTATAAGGTTATTCCTCCCGCCTTCCTGGAGTGCCTCGGGGTGTAGTGGTTCTGCGCGCTGGACCGGTTCGATTCCCGGCGAAGGCGGTTGCTCATTTTTCATCTTTTCTGCTTCCAAATTACCTAATGTCTCCACAAGTTCTTTAATTTTTTTTTTCAAATATTTATGTTTAATTTTTTATGTTCATATAAATATATTTTTATTTGATTACTTATGTTTTTAATTTAAAAGAGAATATTTTCATATAATTACTTTTCTTTTGCTATTCATGCAGATCTAATTCGCTCGGCTTTTTAACAAGAAGACAGACTAAATAAAGACCAAGTAATTTTCGCTTAATAGTATTTTCCGCAACATTAATAGTAATTACTTAATTAAATATTCTTCGGTTTGTTACCTATTTCTTTGAAAAAAGAACTATGTGAGCAAAAAGCGTTAAAAATTAACCTTTTTTGAAAACGTTGAAAATAATACGGATTAGTAATAATTATTATCTTACCTTAATAAGATACCAGAAGAAAAATATCGATTTTCTTTTCTTTTCTCGGCTTCGCTCCTGCGCGACTTCAAATATTTCTGGCTCTGTGAGAATTCTGCCAAAAACCCCAACCATCATTCCTTGAGACATAGTTGATTTGTAATCCAAACGAGATATTAACTACCAATATAAAATAATTATATTACTACTTGCCATTAAAGAAATCATTGAATTCAGTTTTCAAACAGTACAAGTTACATTACCTCAATAATAGACATTGTCAAATGGTTATAAAAAGGTACCATTCCGCTCGGAAAGTAAATAGTTCTAAGGAAGTCATTATCCTGGAGCCCTGAAAGTGCTCTCCTCTGAAAGGAAAGAAAAGACAAACAATAATCGCAATTATTTATTTTTAACTGAATTCATTAATTATCAAAATTTGATATCGTGTAAACAAACCTTACTTGGAAAATAGGAGCCAAATATTTCCATGTGTTTTCAAATCCAAGGGGAGATAATGCCCCTGGCATAACCTCACTGGGAAGATGAAGTAGAAGTTAAATACCATACTGAAGTATATATAAGTTTTATACTTTAAAATACGTTAAATACAAATATTTAAGTGAAAAAGCATTTTTATATGAACATGTCAAACAACAGAAGATAGAACACTTGTAAGAATATCAAAAATACATTTATTAACAAAGATCATCACAAAAATATCGTACCCTAGATATTGTAATGATTAATGGAATTTTGATTGCTTATCTAAAATCTAAGATGTGTGTTCGATTCTGTGTGAGGTTAGGTTGTTTGGAGTGAGTCCTTTCTCCTTCTTGCAATGAAGTATCAATCTACCGCCTACGGTACAGTCGGCCGATATTTTTTGTGATGAGATAATCACACCTCTCCGAGAGGCTAAACTGGCCTTTACTTTTGGTATCAACAGACAATATCAATGTTAGAGCTCTCTACTGGTTTGTGTTGGCTTATAGTGACTTTTACTGGTTTTCTTACTGGTATCAATAGATATCGATACCAAATCGAAATGGATGCCAAATAAATCTCTTTTGGATTATATGGGTTTATATAAATTTTTGGATTATATGGGTTTATATAAATTTTTGGATTATATGAGTTATCAATTTATTAAATAAATTGATAAACTGACATCAATAAACTTCTTGTAAACAATGAATTTAAAACTGGTATCAGTAAACCAAAATTCATTGGTATTCTTGATGTCTACTGATTACTTTAAATTATTTATTTACTTGTTTTTATTTTATTTATTTAAATGCTACTGTTGAGATTAAAGTTATTTCATTTTTGTAACCAATAGGAACGTTTAAAATTAGAAAACATACAGTGAACCCTTTCGTCTCCACAACTTCCCTAAGACGATCAATATTTTAAGGAATAGTATAAATAAACATGAACATTAAAAATATGACCTCTTTAAGACCATCCGAGTAATCCCATAAGTGGTCGCCTTAGAGTAGGTTCACTATATATGTTCATTTATTTTTCTTTAATTGTTGGAATCAATAAAAGCAATCTGTACTTACACACATAGTTACATATACACCCACGCATAATGAGGCCTCTCTAAGGCGACCAGCCACGCGTTAAAAATTATCTCGGGTGGTCGCCTTAGAGAGGTGATGTTCAACATCAACATATACTCATGTTCTCAGAAATATTGGTCTCTTTTAGAGGCAGTCATCTTAGGGGGGTGATTTTGTCACGAGTTAGTTTTTGAATACACACACTCACATACATACTTATATACACATACATCAACATTTCTTGAGAATACAAATAAACACTGGTATTGAACATAAACCATTTTTCTTTCCGTTAACACTGAAGTGAAAAAAAAAATTCCTCGCCTCCCTCTTTCAGAAATAGAAATTGCCAAACAAGGAACATGGCACTCTTGCTAACATTGTTATGGAATGTTTGTGTTATGGTCTTGATGGATGACACGCTGCAGTAATACAAAAAATAATATTTGTAATATGTTTTATTCTTATAGATGTTTATAATGAAACATAAAATACCAGCATTACTTGTGAATATGAAATAATATGGAAGGAAATGCCAGTAGAGCCAGATCGTGTAATCGAGTTTTAATGTTTGAGTGAACTTAGCTGACAGTTGAATAGTTCTGAAATAGAGTTTCTTCAGTATGAAAAAAAAAAAAAAAAAAAAAAAAAAAAACTAATGCGTGAAGTTTATTTTTCAGCTTTACTTTTATCCTAAGAAGCAATGTACTAAATGACTGAAAAGTGATAATTTCTGACTTAATAATTTGAATAAATTTGTTTACAGCAAATGCACAAACATATTTTTTGCATTCTCTTGAAACTGCATTTTTTAAAACTTGTTTTTTTGATTATAATTTAGAAATGCTGGCCATTAAAGCTGCAACACCAGGAAGGAATAATCTGACGAACATCAAAATCATATAAAAGGAAGAAGAGGTTGGGATATGCAGTGTATTTCAGCGCATTTAGACGACGCAGGAGGAAGAAACGATATTTGAAGCACTGCATAAAAGAAAAGTTGTGTAGCGGATTCCGTATTCGGAAAATGCTTTGAAAGGTTGGAGTTTGCTCAGAATATCGTGTTATGCCTCGAATAACAAGAGGAAATGCTTACCAGCCCGTTCCGAAATTTGATAGAGGCAGGATCGTTGCCTATCGAAAGTGTAGATTATTGTTCTGTGATATCGCAGGACGCACTGGTCGACATCCAAAATCTGTCATGCGAATATGGAACCGAAGGATTGCTCAGGATCATATTGGACGGCATGCCTCAACGCCCTCCCATGACTAATGCCAGAGAGGACGGACATATTGTGCGGTCAGCCCTTTAAAACCGTACGACTACATCACGGACCATTAGTCAGAAAATGGCCATGTTTGTAGCACGCCTAGTATCCGCTCGTACGTACGTTCACGTTTGCAACAGCGTAGACTATCAGCACAACGACCATTACTTCGGCTTCCCTTGACAATGCAGCATAGAGAGAGACGGCGATTCTGGGTGGTGTACGGTATTCCAGTAAGTGTGTTGTATATCATGCATTCTTGTAAGCGTGTACTATACTAGCAAGAACATAGTTGTACATAGTAAGAAAATGAGCTGTATAACCGTGGTTATTGTGTTGCTATCTGACAGGTTTTTGTACGTACAGTAGTGTAAAAGAATAGATTACTTAAGTGTGACAGTCTTACAATAAGATTGAGAGCCTTACAATCAGGACTAATATAGCAGCAACATTGTTACTGCTCACCAATGTTATAATACAGAGTAGTGTTTCGTAATTTAGCATAGCAGTGTCACTCGGTACTTATGACGTACATTGCCTCAGCTCCCGAAGACTGCAAGCTGCGTTTTACAGTTCAGCCGCGTGAAATGTCTATAGTGCACTCTTGTTATGCATGATTTGTTATGCATGACATTGACAATAGATTTTAAAACCTGAATACATGACTTATTTTGTATGTACATATGTGACTTATTTTGTGTGTGTGTGTGTGTGTTTCAAACCAGTTTTGTATCCATGCAGCTCTGTACTTCTAAGAATTTTTTTTTTTAATCTATGCAATGAAGAATGTCATATGTATCCAAGATAGTCCTTTGTATTCCTTATCTAGATGTGACTCTGTAACCCATTTTAATTTAGACTCAATAAAAACCGTTATGGCTTCTGCGGCGCAGACATCATACTGCAAGGGCTTATTCCCGGCCAATAGTCCTCCTTATCAGTGTAAAAGTGAGAAAAAAAAGTATTCTTATGGCCGGTATACGTGCCTGGAGGCTCCGAGGAGATGTGCGTGTCTGCTTACATTCAATATCGGGATAGGGGTCCTATACCTAGTGTGATGGTTTGGGCAGCCGGTGGGTACACAAGACGCACATCTCTAGCTCCGATTGACGGAAATTTGAACGCAGATGGATACATTTCCGACATCTTACGTCCAGTGATTGTGCCCTATCTTCGAGGCCCCCAAACGTCATGTTCCAACAAGATAATGCAAGACCAGAAGTTACAAGTCGTGTTCTGACCTTCCTCGATACACAGGGTATTCGATTGCTGCCCTGGCCTGCACGGTCTCCAGATCTGTCACCCATTGAAAAACATCTGGTCATGGGTTGCTGAGAGACTGGCACGTCACCCCTCTCCAGTTAATATGGTTGTTGAAGTGTGGCATAAACTCGAAGCAGCATGGAATGAGTTGCCCATTTCTGTCCTCCAAGCCCAGTTTAACTGCTAAATTTTACAAAACTAATTGAGAGGTTTTAAAAGACAATTAAAGCCAAAGCTTCTCAAATCATGAGTCTTGTAAGGGCACTGTTTTAGCATTATTTTCAAATATAGTTAGAATAATATTTAAAGATTATTTTCTTACATTAGTTAATAGTGTAAGAAAATTTATAGCAGTTTCAATTTTTTGCACTAAATTTATCTGTTTGTATAGATATTATTAAAATAGATAAAACTGTTGGCAAGCAAATGTGACTACATTTGCTCTATTTGCTTAATTGGAATAACATTAATTTTAACGTAAGGCTGTTTAGAAGATTTATGTACATTGCTAAATACTGTACTATGTAAATTTCACTTGGCAGTATAAATACAAGAAATGCTCACTTTTTTAACGGTACTTTTGTATTTTTAATATATAGAATTAGTTTTTTTTTTAATGTTTTTAATTTTTTTTAATTTAATAAATAGATACTTATTATATGTGTGCACGAGTATGACTATATTCATACTTATTCACAGATATGGAATTTTTAAGCACAAAAGTTAATAATTAAGCTTTCTTACTCCATAAACGACATATTGTATAAATACCTATTATGTTACAGATTTTATTTATATAAAGTCTATGGAAGATTATATAGCACTAAAAGTGAGATACGGAAGAAGATAATGTATATTACACGCTATGAGATATTTCCTTAATTCCCAAACTGTGGGTTGAGAATCGGTATTAGTTGAGTTACGTAAATTTTTCAAAGTTTGTTTCGTTACAATATAATCTATTACATTTTGTATTTTATATTTTTATACTGATGTTTTGTTTATATCCTGAGGTACAAATACAGGTAACATTCAAAGTCCTGTAAAGAAGTGGTCAACACAATATTTGTATATTATTATTTCTTCATTACATTTTACTCTAGGATTCTTCCTTTCTTCCATGCAAAACACCTATGTGTATATGTGTCATAATAAGCTGCAGCATATTGCTATCAGTGGTAAGCAAGCTTTAAGGAGATACCAACTATGTTAAATTTTTCATTTGCAAGCTCCTTGTTCTTTTTGCTTGCTTGTTTATTTAATATTTTGACTTGTAATTCTGTTTCTCTTTCTGAAAATTAAGGTTTCATCTAATTTCATTTAAATTTGATTTAACGTATTGTAGATAACTAAAAATTTAACCAGATGCTAGAAAATACCATCCATTGGCAATACATTTATGATGAAATCCCATTGTTCAATTTTCTAATAAAAGAACTGAAATACTTTTATACAAATATATGCAATGAGATACAGTGATATGTGTATGTGATGGAAACAGAAAGAGACGTAGTAATGTTGATGGCATAGAACTAGATCTATATTCAAGAGGAAACTTGGCAGACGAGTAAGAGTAAATATTCATTTTTATTTCATTTGACATTTGTAGCCACAATCCACTTGCACGCTAATCATGTTATTTCCAGAATATTAAAATTTTTGAAACTACTGCGATAGGAAGAAAGCAGAGAGGCAGCATCCTAATGATAACAGAGGTAGAAACAAAAGTGGGCAATTATCTAGTAGAGGCTCACTAAAATAGGGTTTTGGTTTAGGTTGCTTATTAAAAGACAAGTTTCAATTCTTGAAATTTTGAGTTCATATGTAAGATAAAAAGTATGTAAATCTCAAAATTATAATTTAAACTAGTAATAGTCCTTAATTCCCCTTCTATATTCTAAAAATAGTAATAATTTTTCTGGGCTGCGTCATTTCTAGATCAACCTATAGCTTGAATAACCCCGTTGATGTCACTAATTCAGAACCTGAACTTAAAATTTAAAGAACTGAAACCTCTCACTTAATATGTAACCTAAACCAAAACGTTCTCTTGGTGAGCTTCCATGCTGGATAATTGCACACTTTTGCTTCTACTTCTGTTGCCGTAAGGACGCTGCCGCCCTGCTTTCTTCCTATTGCAACATTTTCAAAAATGTAAATTTTCTGGAAATAGGCACAATCAGAGTGCCAACAAGTGAACTGTGGCCACAAATGACAATTGAAACAAAAATGAATATTTAATTGTACTCAGCTGCCAAGTTTCCTCTTCAATATGGATCTACATTCTACACCATCAACATTACTATATCTTTTTCTGTTTTCGTCACATGTATATACATATCTATATATATAATCAATGAAGATAATAAGCAAAGTCATGATTCACAACCATCAAATGAGGTGTATATACATATTATCATTCGATAGTTTCAAATCATGACTTCGATTATTCTCTTTCTGTTAATTTTACTTTCAAAGTTATATAAGGGGAGTTTAAAATTTTGTAAAGAGAATTTATACAAATGTTTTGTAATACGCTTGTATAGACATGTATAGATAAAGACAAAGCCTGTAGGCTTCTAGGTATTTAAAATTTTAATTAAGTTTATTCGCAATGAATTTTGTTTAAAATTACCCCACTTGCTTTTTCCCTTATACGATTCCGTACATTTCATCAGTGCTAAGTAAGTCTACTGGCATATTATCATATTTACTAATTTTTATGGAAATTTGATCTTCAATTCTACTTTTTTGTTTTTTTATATGAATTCTCCATATGGATACCCGTATAGTTCTATTAGTTTTCTTTATGAAATTCTATTAACTGATTTTACGGGATTTTGCCTACAGGTACCTGCATAGGTCTACGGGTTTTTGTTTGCTGATTTTACAGGGATTTGGTCTATGGGTACCTGTATGAGTCTGTTGGTTTTTTCTACGAGTACCTGTAGACCAAATCTCCATTATGGATCTATACATGGTATTTTTAGCAGGGGAGCAAATACAAGAAAAGGCTGGTTAACTGTGACATCGGTGAAAACATATAACACTTTAGAAGGAAAAAAAAAAAAAAAAAAAAGAGCTACCTTTTCTGTGACATTAAAACATAAAACTTCTCAAACCCTTTTTTTGGGGGGGAGAGGGGGAGACATTCAGTTCAACATATTGAAATCCTACTGTAGAAGCAAAGTCATTTAATATGAATAAAAATAAATAGAACATCAGGGTCTAGATTGAAAACTATACAAGATGATTAATGAAAAATATATACCAAGTATTATATATGTGATATACGTTTTTAAACATCCAATGATTTCAAACTTTAAAAATCAAAAGAATGCATACTATTTCAGAATATTAGAACATATCTCTATATCGTAATTTTCTTTTATCCAATGCTAAGTCCTTTAACAAAAAGAAATTTAGATGCTAAGAATGTAGCAGAATTTCATAATTTCTTAAATATATCAGATACAGCAGTTAAAATACCAATTAAAAAATATTGCAAATAAAATACAAAAGCCTCTACAAGAATTTTTTTATGTATACTTTAAATCTTTATTGCATGCTGCTTTAGAAAGCTTATATTACTTTTTGTTAATATAACTAAATTTTAATTGTTTACAATCTGGTTACAATTGATTACATTTTGATCACCTTGCCATTACATAGGACAGAAATAGGTATCTCCCCCCCCCATTATCCTATAGGTTTCCAACTGAAAATACTTAATTTGACAATGACAGCGTTTATGAAACCTGATTACAACCTGAATATATCATAAACAAGATTTTATTTACATTACAGAAGCAAAATTATCATCAACAATTGAAATGTTCAGTACAATTTATAACTGCAAATGAGAGTTTGAATACCCAATTCCTGTTCCAATAAAAACTATTAAATACATACCCAACATTGCAAACGGTGAAATAGTCACGTTCGCAGCGAAGTGGAGCATCAAATTCGTGCTTAATTTCATAATCATTTTCTCCTGTTCCACTTGTAACAGGTCGAGACTATGAAAAAGGTGTGAAGAAAATTAATTACGATATAAATATTTGGGTATAGTCTTTCTCTAAAATTTTATTCATGGAATTACAAATTCAGAACTCTGGACACAAAATTTTCATTCCTTTTTATACTAAGAAAAAATAAAACAATTTTTAACAAAAAAAAAAAAAAAAATTATTTCCCAAAAATATTTCGTAGTAAAAGATTCAGCTATAATAAATCTGCTTTAGGATTTGGTGTTAGGATTTGGATTTTGGATTTGGTGCCCTTTCAGAAAAGTGGAGGTATTCAGCACAGAATGCCATGGAAGAATCGGTCAAAGAGTTCATAGATGTGTATAATATACAGTTTATTTTCAACTCAGGCGATCTTGCTTCATTTATTCATTACAACAGCAGCATTACATCGGCAGTTACAACCCGCTTTCTACTTATAAAAGTGATTCACCAGAAAGAAAGGTGATTTTTCAGAATAACATAATTTCATGGAATTTTAAATGGGCAGACTAGTCATTCTTCCGAGGGAGGTTAAAAACAGATTTTTATCTTTAAATTCTGTAAAAAACATCGACGGACTTTTCTCTAAATGCAACAATGTCTTAGTTACAAGTTATGAAACGATTTATTTCACGTGATAAACTGAAACAATACAAATGTTTTCTAAACTTATAAATTAGCAGAATTAAAGAAAGAGCGAAACAGGCTAAGAAATAAAGAAAAAAGAAGGACAGGCTTTTAACTGTTGTGGAATGGAGATAAAGCGGTTCAGTTTGGAAGGTCATTTTAGTGGCCAAACAAGCCTCTTTTATTGATTTTGTTTCCAAAGCTGATTTTAGGATGGACAGTGGGAAGATGTATGACTTCATCAGAAAACAATTGAGGAATCCTATAAATTTTAAAAATTCCTTCCTTAATTCTGATGACGATATTGCAGGGCCTTTAATTCTTTTTACACAGAAAATAAAGTTAAGATCTATGAAAAAGTAGAAGGATACAAAACTATAAAAGGAAAGCGCAAGGCATGTGGATAACAATCCTACACCTGCCTTTTACGTAGGGTATTTCCAAAGCTCAAGAAAATGGGCATCGGTTCAATTCAAGAATTTAAAGGCAACGCTTTCGGCTAGAGACAAATCTTAACAAGTTTATTCAGCTATCCCCTGTAATTTTGTAAAACGTTTTATAGGGTGATCGATTTGAGAGTTTAACCATGCCATAGACAGATTGAGGAGTCACCGTAAAAGTTCTCTGAGGACTTTTTTGTTTTTTGAGGTTGAAAACATAAATTAGTCTATCGTTGTAAAAAGCGTATTAAATTAAATTGATACTATTCTGAAAAACTGCATGGTAATATTGATGAAAATTGACGAAATAAAATAATCATACCTAGATTCCAAGAAATTTTGGAAACATCCTACGTTTATTATAAATTTTTCCAAAGGTGAACAAAATATAGCAATCAAAGATACCCTCCACATAAAAAGTCTCCTGTAAGCGATGGCATTCGTGCTAGATTTATTCATAACACTGATTCAGTTGAAAGAGCAATGATCTTAAGAATATAAAATAAAATTTTAAACAGTGCTATTCTCTCAATTCGGAAACATTATTCCTCTGCTAAATAAAGATATTCTACCAGGATAACTCCTAGATTTACAGATCTATCACATAAGCTTATAAGGTATTTCTACCGCCTTCTTAGCATGCCTTCGTAGTGTAGTGGTCAGCACGCTGGGCGCGTATTCCAGAGGTCCGCGAACGATTCCCGGCGAAAGCGTTGATCATTTTTCACATCTCCTGCTTCGAAAAAAATCATAATGTCTCTACAGTGGCGTTCGAACTAAAAAATGGTGGTGGATGATGATTCTCCACACCCAGGATTTGGCTTCTAAAAACCCAGTCGCCATTTAAAAGGGGTAGTATATAAGGTGCGTCTCCCGCCTTCTTAGCATGCCTTCGTAGTGTAGTGGTCAGCACGATGGGCATGTATGCCAGAGGTCCATAGTTCGATTCCTGGCGAGGGCGATGCTCATTTTTCCCATCTCCTGCTCCCAAAAAAATTCTAATGTCTCTTGCCGTCTTAAGTGGTATTGCAAATCTCATGGATTATTACATCCTACCTATGCAGGTAGCACTGATCAACTGAAAAGCATACTGCAGTCTGCAGTTATTAATATATATATATATTTATATAATGGTAATAAAAGTCATGTTGCGACTGCGTTTAGATGACACCTCCTTCTAAAGAACGTTTGCATCTCGGAGTATCTGAAAATATGCTAAAATGAATCAGTTTTATTGGCCACTAATTAATAAACATGCATTACGGAAATGCTACAACTTGTTACAAACAATTTAAGTCTAATCTTCCCTTGGTGCGGGCGATAGACCTTTTCCCAGCCCTGTGCAAATTCTGCGACTTCAAAATTTTGCCGATAGATTCTTTTTTAAATTCTAAAATTTTGCTGCCCTGAGCAATCGCACTGTTAGCACCAGCTCTGTCTTCCCCAAAGAGCAGCGATTAGCTGTTGTCTTTTTAATGTATATAAAAACGATCTTATATATATAGATAAGGATGTAAATGTAGTCAAGTATGCTGATGATTTGGTGATATGGTAATCCTTGCACTAAAGAGTACACAGGAGAAGTTAGAAGATACACTAAATAAAACCATGAACAGGCGAAGTATTTGGTAACAATTAAATAACTTGGAGGTAAACACTGAAAAGATTACTTGTCTAATTTTCTCTAGAGCCACATGGTTCTCGATCTTAAGGTTTTATATAATAATATCCCTGAACTTCAAATGCAGAAAATATTTGGCAGCCTTCTTAGATGGAAAGTTGTCATGGAATTCCCAGCTGGAAGAACTGAAGTTATGAGTAAATAATCGTTTGAACGTAATTAAACAATTAGCAGAAATTTGTTGGGGATGTGCGACCTTTTACCTTATTTACAACTTATAAAACGCTTATAAAACCTATTATAAAATATTGCTGAATGTCATTAACAACTGCTCCTGAGAGTCTGACAAAGAACATTGCAAACTAGGTTTTCTGCCTTTTTGCAGGTACTGTAAAAACAATTCCAATAGATGTTCCTCTATATTATATTGGATAGAGCGGACTGAGCATGCCTCATGAGATCCAAATTTCCAATTTAAAGCTTTCTGAGAAAATTCTCAGAATTGTTTAGAAGCATAAGAGGCTTGTGATAAATTGACAGCCATGAAGGACTAAAGCTGAGCAGGTTGGTTTTCATTCAATTTGTTATGAAAGATAAATTGAAATATAAAATAAATTTTGGCCCATTTCCCGAACTCCGTGATCCTAATGAAATCAAAAGTATTGCTTTGAGACTGGATCTTTGTCAGACTATTCTGAAATCGAACCTGGAATTCAGAAATTTTGTTTTTCCTAGTGACAGAAATGATTGAAGAACATCATCCAAATAATGAATGGCCATATCCAATTTCCTCACCGGCCATATCCAATCAAGTTTACTAGCTTTATGCCTAAAAGACATTCCAGTTATAACAAATATTTTTCTCATTCCTGATACCATCTCATTGCGGCATAATAAGGCAGTCGATAATCTAGCACAGAAAGGTAAAGAATAACACAAAGTACTTAAAAAAACTATTTGTGAGATCATAGATAAAACCAGGTTAAAAATTCTTTTTATTTGTAGTTTCCAAAATCATATCAAAAATAAAGTCTGTAGTAAGGAGTTTGATGATTTACTAGACTGCCCTCGAGAAAGTTTAATAACTTGTACGGTTTTCTTAATTTGCATAACAAATTTATTTTAAGTTTACCTGTTCTCAACTTCTCAAACTTTCCCTCACATTCTCTCGCCAGGATGTAAATTTTAAAGTTAAGTGAAGTGTTATTTAAACGTGTGATTATCTCAGTTTATTCAGAGCGTGTTTCGCTAGCCTAGCGCACGTTTCGTTGTTATTTCGCGGTCACTCGAGTAAGCCCATTGGCCTTATCAGTTTAGTATCACGCCGGTTAGATCTCTGTGAGTCCATCTCTTAGGAGTAATTTTGAAGTGCATTCTTGCACTCGTTTATTTTCAGATTTTTATTTGTATTCTAGCCTACGTTTAGTTATCGCCGCAAGTGAACGGTGTTTGTGTAACACACGAAGTCCGTGCTTTCTGTTATTTTAGTTTGAGTTAATAAAGGGTTATTTTTCACCCTTCTTCTGTGCTGGTATCTGTTTCACACCTGTGCGAGAATTCGCCAGGTTCATCGTAGGATCTAAGTTAGTGCATGTGGACAGTTAGATATAGATTTTACAAGTGTCGCCCGAATTTTTCAGAACTCATGGCTAACAACGAAGGTGCAGCTGAATTAGCTCCAGCAACATCGCAGACCCCACTGGCTCCTGGAAGCATGATGGAAGGCTTTGGATATCTGGTGGACACTATGAGGGCCTCTATGAAACCATCGGTGATATTTGACGGAAGAACGTTCGTAACTAGCTTCCTAGAAATTTTAGATAATCATTTTTTTACTTTATCCTGTCCCTGATGTACAAAAGATCACGATAACCACTACCGTCTTGCGAGGACAAGCATTAAGTTGGTTTAAAGGGATAGGAAAATTTCGATTGGGAGAAATAGGAAGCCCCAGTTATACGTTCGACAATTTTAAAGCTGCGCTAATAAAAGCTTTTCCCGTGGTTAAAGATAGAGCTAGGCTTGAAGCCGAATTGTACGGCAAGTACCAATTTGAAAAATTGTCTAATTTCATCTTACGCAAGATCCAAGTAGCGAATTTGTTATATAATAAAAAGCCCAACGAAGAAATAATCCAAATCATTTTGCCTGGACTATTGCCGAAAGTTCAGGATTATATTGAAGTAAGAAACCCCAGCATTCTAGAACAATTGTTCGAGCTGGCGGTGAAATTCGAGAGTAGGAGGGTAGCAGAAAGTACGCGTACGAGAAGTTTCGGGCAAAGATCAAACGGACAGTTTTGCAGGCCATATGCGGAAAAACCGAAAACATCTTACAGCAAAAATAAATTTCAAGATAAAAAGAAAGGGGGCCGCCAGAATAGGCCGCAAGATTAAAAAAAGGGGCTGTTAAAAAGGATTTAAACTTGAACGGGTGGCCTCTGAAAAGGGTTTACAGTCACCCCATTCGAATAGAAATTCCTCAAAAGTTCAATTAAAAACGGTGATTATAAAAAATTTGTCCTTACCGGTAATTCACATTCGAATAAATTGGAAGAATGAAATGAAGCCAACAGAAGGTGCCAACAAAAGCCTTGGTGGATACGGGAGCAGAAGCAAATTTTTGATCAGAACAATTCTTTCGAAATAATTTTTAAAAACTATAGATTATTTGAAGCGCAAAACACCAAAGTCATTGCAGCGCAGGGCAAACATTGTTCAAGTATAGGAAAAGCAACGTTCAATGTAGAGATCAAAAACGAAATTCAGAAGTCTATATTTTTTGTAGTGCGAAATCTACAAGTTTCGGTAATTTTGCGGACAGATTTTTTAAAAACAGCGGGAGCCGAAATTAATTTTCAGAATGAAACGATGAAACTTAACATGGAGCCGAAGGAAGTACAAGCTGTGGAGCCTCCGCAACTCAACCTGGAACATGCGAAAGCAGAAGACAGATGAAAACTACAAGAAATGGTAAGCCAGTTTTCTGATTTATTTTCTGAAACACCTGGCCTCACTCAGATAGTCCAGCATGAAATTAAGTTAAAAAGTGAGGAGCCCGTGAAGGCCATGCCATACAGATATGATCGCGTTAAGGAAAAGATTGAGGAGCATATTCAACACATGCTCGAAAATAAAATAATTAAGACAATAAGCAGCCCTTATGCGAGTCCCGCCATATTATGTAGAAAGAAAAATGATATGCCTCCTTCACATTTTCAAGCCTGGAGGTTAGCTATCGACTACAAGAAGCTTAACAGCTTAACCAAATACCCCGTTTATCCTCTACCTATAATTGAGGAAGTGATCAGGAACATTAGGTCCACCAAATACATGACCACCATAGATCTTACCTCAGGGTACTTTCAAATAGTGATGAAACCAGAGGATGTGCCTAAAACAGCATTTATAACGAAATCAGGAACTTATGCTTTCCTGGAGTTACCATAATGATCATTTTCACACAAGCTATGTTTCACACAAATGTTCATTTATATTCCAAGAAATACTGGTAACTTTCAGAGTTGTTGCCGAATTTAATACCTTTATTTATTCAGTTTTATATATATATATATATATATATATATATATATATATATATATTTTCCTTTACACTCTATCTATATATATGTTTTACATATTTTCAACATTTCTTGAATTTCATAACATTTGCAATTCAGTAAAATGCTATGCTTTTTAGAAATGCAGAACGTTTTGAAAATTACAGTTCATTTTTATCATTTATATATATTTACTTCCTAAGCATTTAGGGTAAGAAGAAATTTTTGTAAATTACAGTTTTCACTAATATTCAGAAGTCATTATTCATTGAATTATTAGCATGTATTTCCAATATTCACTGATGATAACAACATCTCTGATAAATTCTTGCTTCAAAATCTTTGAATTAGACATAATTAACAATTGAAAATATTTTTTATCAAACTTGAATGAAAAAAACTTTGCATTACAATTAAACCTTATTTTGCTTACATGAGCAAACAAATAATGGAATAAAATGCGTTGCATACAAAATGGTAAAATAAGTTTCACTCACTCTATACGGAAAAAAAAAAAATAATAATAATAATAAATAGTAAATTACTATATTTATTATAAATTCTTATATTCAGTTATGACACAATTATATAAAAGTAGTTCTTGCAATTTTGGAATATATACTTTTTCTACAGAATGGGTATATGTTATATTGATTAGGGTAAGGTTTGAAAGCGGTATATTTTGTTTTTCATTTAGAGTATAATATTTTTAAACTAAATTTCTACTAAAATCCTTACATCCAAAATTTGGTAAATACAGTACAAAGTCCGTAACCGGACTCCTCGGGACTTCGGCGATTCCGGATTATAGATCATCAATTTAAATCTGCTAAGATGGCATGCAGAAATTATACAATTAAAAATATGAAACCGTAATTTATGAAATAAAGAGCAATTATGATCTAAAGAGTATCAAAATCTACAAAAAAAAAAAAGCTCAGTATTTATTTGTTTACTTTATAAATCATTTCTTTCAGTGCAAGTCGTTTACTTCGTTTTTTGTGCTAATACTTTCTCTTTAATTCCTTCTTCTATAAATAATCATAATTTCTTGTTTAGTTCCACTGTTCAAATCCTGTAATTGCTGTGTCGAGAATACCGACTAACTTGTCAATCGAAATTTTTTCGTTTTCAATAATAACCTCTCTGTCACTTTCTTCACTATCGGAAGCGCGCATGTGTAAACGCTTTACTGGCTTTACGAGCATGCGTAGCGGACGCGCGCATCAACCGCGCATGCGTAAACGCATTATGCGTAAGGTTGTGGCTTTGATGTCCGGATTATAGATCATTCCGGATAATGGACATCCGGATTACGGACTTTGTATTGTATTATTTAGAAAAAGAATCTTACTTGTAAAATATAAATGGTATCATTTGCTACTCCCCACTCAATATCTCTGGGTGATTTGTAATAGTTTTCAATCTGGAAACAATGAGAAACATTTGAAATTTTTTTAAGATTTAATAAATGATTTTTAAAATAATATATATTAGTTTTAAGATTTAATAAACGTTTTTTAAAATAAAATATATTCTCAGAAAGCATACAATATTTTTCTAAATACAAAATCAAAATAATTTAAGTAACAAAACAAAATATACAATAAATTACATAGTTGCAGAATTTTTTTTTAAGAAAAGGGGGAGAAACTAACTTTTATTGCTAATTTCCCCAGATCTACTGCTAGTTCATTTGATATACAACTTTCCATCTTCTCACTTTCAGCCAATTTCTCATAAACTGTTCCACCATCATCTAGCAAATTGAGAAAAATTCACAAAATAAAATTAAAATTTTCTAAATGCAAATAAACTCTTAAGAATAACCATAATTATGTACTCTTATATTTATTTTATTTTTAAGAATATACTAATACAATATATTAATTATACTAATACAATATATTATTATTATATTATTAAAATTACCACCAAAAAATTAATAAATGAAAAATAAAATAAACAAATAAATAGTTCAAAAATAGGATAATATAAATAATTGTTTTAATCATTTTTTTTTAAAGTTTATTTTCATCAAATTCAATTTCTTGATCTTTTTAAGTTTAAAATTTCCGTTGAAAAATATTATAATTTATTACACTGTTAAATAAAATTCACACCTATACTTAACAAAAAATTAAGACTCGCATCTCGATGATTACTTTATAAATTATTGTAGTTTCTTCCCCATGTGGGGGGAGAGCTATTTTTTTTTATTTTAAAATAACTCCTTAAGAAACAGACATTTTTATTTTTAAAAATTAAAGGTTTCACGTCACAAAATTAGTTTAAAGAATTTCATGACCAATTGATTCATATTGAACTTGCTATGAAAAAAATAACTATCATAAACTTAAAAATGCAGTGTAATCATTAAATAAAAATAATTTACCTTTCATAATCATTTTCTGGTTTTTTGCCCCAATGATTACAGATTTAACATTCAAATTATTGTCATCATCTCTGTAAAGTATGACAGTATCTGGTTCTTCAGATCCTGAGACTACAGTCTAGAAAGTATATAAAATCCAAAACTGTTCTTGAATAAAATAGCAAAATTAAAGATAGCAATATCACAACTGTTATATATTACAAACAAAATAAGCAACTGATGAATAGTTACCAGAAAAAGGTAAGAGACATTCACAAACTATGAAAGACTTTCAATTAATTAATATATAGTTAATAAAGTAAAATAAAAAAAATTTACTAATCTCTATTTACTTTAAACAGGCATTGTTTTTATTACCTAGTGTTCAGACTTTTAGAACACATACGAATTTACAAATACGAACAGCAAAAATTTTACAACTATGAACAGTGTAAGATATAAATTTAGAGAAATGTTGGTCCTGTAAATAAGAAGAATAGTCTAGAAAAAATAAATGTAAATGACTTTTTTTAAATCATAGGATGGGGTAATGTTAATACACAACTATTCATATGTGCTTTTTTAATCTCCTAAGTTGTTGTTTTTACTTATATTTTATCAAATGAATATAAACTCATTACTACTTGATCAATATCTGCTCTATCTACAGTATATGCAAAATTCTTCTTTAGATATATGATACCTCATTTAAAAATATCATTGCAGAACTTTATAACTACATATTAAAATGATTACTAGTGTGTATGTGTGTGTAATCATTTTAATATGTATTTATAAAGTTCTGCAATGATGATTATATGATTACACACACACACACCTATGTATATATATATATATATATAATTGAAACAGAAATTGTAAAGCTAATATATAATATTTAAATTCAGAAGAAAAACTTATTTCCAATTTAATTACTTAATTAATAATTTCTTTTGCAATTTATCGAGATACAATTTAAAAACGTGGAAAGCGATCTGAAACAGAAGTAAATTTTAAAAAATAGCAACAGTTGATAATTCTCTTAACTACTCCTTGACAAAGACCAGAGAATTATCAAACATTGCTGTTTTATTTTATTATTTTACTTTTGTTTGAATTTACTTCTGTTTCAGGATAGATTTCCAAGTTTATGCTTCATGCTGTTTTTGGTTTGTGCTTCATTTACATCAGGCAGTTTGCCACTTCTGATAGATTTACATTCTATTTCATTCTTTCCCATATTATCATTTTGCAATATTTAACACAACATTAATTTTAATTGAATTACTATTTTTTTTCTTTTTTAAACTAACTATTTAAGGCAGATGTCCACACTAGTAGCTGGTTCGATTAAATTGCTCATTAGTTGCTCCATCTCAACAACGCTATAAGCAAAGAGTTAACACTAGATGAAAATCCATCCACAAAATTAAAAATAGAAATAAATAGAAATTTAAAATTAACATTCAGAAAAATCACTTAAATGCTGGAAATCATGTGAACTAGACTTAGTTAAACCTCCTGGAAGCAAGAATATAAATGGACTGAAACTGATTGTAAAATATAAAAAATAAGAATAAAATTATACAAACAAAGAATAGTTATAATTTCCCATATAAAAATTAAATAATGCAAAGAATTTCATGCTTTTACTGTTTGATGCTTCAGCATGTGATATATCAGAATGTTTAAGCACCAGTTATTCTGAGCTTTAGATTTTCAGATTTAAGTGTGTTTGTGTGTATATACAATATAAAATGTAAAAATTCACATATTGCAAATGAATTAACATGTACTACTTTATCTACTGAATTGTAATTTATATTGATAATTAAAGCATTTTATAATGTCATGTAAAATTTCTTATTAACGCAAACTTTCCCCACATACCTCTCCTAAACCATAATTTCCAGTCATAACGATGACAGATGGATTATTTGTTACTGGATCACATGTAAAAAGAACTCCTGAAACTTCAGAAGCTACCATTTCCTGTATAACAACAGCCATTGGAGAATTTAAAATCTGTCCATTTTGTCTACAATAAAAATTTAAAAAGGTTATGTTGAGTTTCTATAATCATATAACATTTGAGTAAAATAATAAATCAGCTGGGACAGTACTTTTAGCAAAACATTTTATGAATGGCTGCTTAAGAAAATATGCTTCCATTGAGCTTTCCTATACAACTGCAAAGATTTATGTCATTAATTATGATTTCCCCGTTTCCCTATGGAAGGAATGCATAAGAAATATCCTTTAAAAATTGCTGAAAGTTAAAATTATTAGGTATTCCTATAAATGCAATGAAGAAGAATAAATAACAACTATGCAGAAATTAAAAAGTTATTTTTAAAGTGATGCTAAACAAGTAATAATAATTTCTAATATAAAGATAAAATTTTATATTAAATCCAATTCATTATAATTAGTATTGATCACTATAAATTCAGATTCAACATCAAGAATTTTCACAAAAATGAATCACTCTGGTTGAGAGGCTGAAGTTTCTATTTTTTGCAGTTTTATAGGCTGGTTGCACAACTTTACAGAACTTTTCCTAATACCATATCAGAGGGCTAGAAGTGAAGGGTGTGGTGATGGCATATATTTGAGAATGACATATTTCATATGAAACATAATTTTGTATAGTTAGGCAACTAGATTTTGGGGACAGAAAGAAAACATTAATGGATAGGTTGAGTAATAATGAGATGCTGAATTGTCATACTAAATTAAACTTTTGAAATGCAAAGAAACATTTCAAATTTATTCTAAGACAAGCAAGATATGCTATCTTGCTTGTCTTGCTTAGAATTTTGGAATTAAGGTTTCACTCCAGAAATAAATGCCAAGTTTTTATTCATTTCTCTGTATACTGTTTTGATATTTCATATCTTTCTGGTATGTATAGGGAATGGAGGCAAATTCAGAGACTACCTTGAGGAGCAAAATATTCAGCTATGCCACTGCTGTTTGTAATGTAAAAACAAGAGAGTCTCCTTTAAAAAGTTTTTCTATGAAGGTATCACTTGCTTTAACACTGCATTTACGCAAATAACCTTATTTTATTTTGCCATAATTCAGTAATTCTAATCCACAGATATTAATTAAACTGGTTTATTAAACTATTACAAGAATTTAAATATATAAGAAATTATAACAAACATTGAAGTTAAATAGAAAAAAAAAATAGTTTAACATACAAAAGATTAAATAGTCAAATGAATATACCCAAGTACAAAGATTTCTACTTCATATGAAATTGTACAATATGTGTCTCTAAAACATTTTACAACACGTCTTTCTTAAATTAAAAAGACTCAAGCAGAACTGACAACAATTACGGAAATTTTACACAAGCCATCACAGAAATATTTAATTTACTTACCTTTTATATTCAACAGCTATGTGACCAAACTGAGAAGCCCAACATTTTTTTACTGCAGTGAAAATCTATCATGAAAAGACATGATAGTTATAAAAATAATTCATAAAAAGCTCCAAATACTCAAAACATTCTGGGGGAAAATATACACCACTCTGCAGAAAAATAAATTTTTCAGCTATAATTTGGACATTTAATAAGGCTTACATTAAACGGCTGTTTAAAATTAAAATGCCAAATTCTTTTAAATTTCTGGAATTAAATTTTCAGTAATTCCTCCTGAGTTCAATTTTTTACATTCTTAGGTTTGCTAGGTACTTAATAAACTGTAATGTACACTGCGCAAAAAAAAAGGGGGGACAGTTCTATATATCTCCCGTTTTACTGAGCCGATTGACGAAATTCAACTTGCGTTTTTCATGTCTCGAAAGAGCAGCTTAGTATATGTATTAGATTTATATATAGTATTGTTCTAATATACGTATTTTGACACAAAATAGGACTGTTTCTAAAATGACATGCAATTTTTTTTTTTCCATATTTCAATTTACGACTCACATTACGTCAAACTGCCAAATTTTGTAAAAATGGCACGAGAAGTGTTCAAAAAACTGGCTCTCAAAATTTTAGCTATGCATTTATTAATGCCTTTTTTATTATTATTAAACTTACTTGATTCTTCTTTCATAGTTCGAAATTTAGGTTCATTCCAAATAAAATTCAGCCATTTTTTATGATTTATTTTTAAAATTTGTTTTTTTAAATATTTTTTTGAAAAAATTTTCAATTATAGTCTATAAAAGTTTTACCATCATCTTAAAGTAGATGCATTTCTAATAATACTTTCAAAAAATTTGAATTTTTTTATTCAAAATTTCCGAAGATACACGTGAACTTACACTGTCTATTCCAAAAAATCAAAGAACCAAGAAGGTAGTGTGTTAAGTTATAGCAAAGCACACGAGGGCTATTTGCTTAAGGGAAAGGATGCCTTCGTGGAGGACTTTCTAAGGAAAACTGGCTCGTATACACGTTACACATGGAAAAAACCACGAAAACGTCCATGCAGCCAGCCCGTTCGCGGGATTCCAACCTCGCACCAAGAAGGACTTTTGCAATCGTGACGAAATTTGGCATGCAAAAAAATCTAGATCGAATATGCAAATGATCAAAGTTTCAAGCCAAATGAACAGGAATTGCGATCATAGCGCGCACTTCTAGTGCGCAATTCGCAAAGTATAAAACCAGTAGCAGAGGCGGAATTTTGGTTGTTGTTGTTGTTGCTGCTGCTATAGTAATTGCGTAAAGAAGCAACTAATGATGACATTACGACGATATTAAAAACCTTACAGACAACTAAACAACTTCGAAATGTGGTCGCATTGTAGGGTTGCGTGAAGCTAGGTACCTAGCAATACCTAGCAATAGGCCGCCACCTGCAGCGTGTCTCTCTGTACAGCAGTGCCTGTAGAGCAGTGTCTGTAGACACTGCTGTACAAAGATGTTGTCAGCAACAGTTGCTACAAGGAAATCGCCGACGGAAAGAATGCTCTGGAAGGCCAAGGAGCGCAAATGCGAGGCAAGATAGGATGATTGTTCGCCAGGCCCAAACCGCCCCAACGGTATCTTTGTCGACTATTCAACGCAGTACAGCCACGTCTATACCTCTCGTAGTATCGTCCACCATCTCACGGCGCTTGTGTGAGGTGGGGTTACGGTCAAAGAGGCCTTTAAAACGTTTGCCTTTGACCCCACAACATCGACGAGTCGTCTGGAGTGGTGTCGCAACCGATCATCATGGCTGCCATCAGACTGGCATCAAATAATTAGTGACATAATTAGTGTTCAGCGATGAATTCCGCTTCCTCTTGAAGCAGATGACCACCGTGTTCGTGTCTGGAGAGGACGGGGCCAGCGGTCCCAATCAGGCTTTGTTTTACAAAAGCACACAGCCATAACCCCTGGTGTGATGGTGTGGGGCGCTATTTCTTATGACAGCAGGTCATCTTTAGTCATCCTCCGTACATCTTTAACAGCTCAACGATATGTTGATATCATCCTGCGGCTGGTTGCATTAACCTTCATGGCACATCATCCTGCGGCCATTTTCCAACAAGATAATGCCATGCCACAAACCACTCGCCTATCTCTGGACTGTTTCTGGTTAATACTCTTCCTTGCCCAGCAAGGACACCAAACCTTTCACCAATCGAGTATGTCTGGGGCATGGTAGGCCGCCAGATTCTGGCACCACAAAATATCGCAGATCTGAGCGGCAACTGATGAATGCCTGGCAGAATGTGTCGCAAGATGACATTAAGAACCTCTAGCCACTCCTTGCGACGACGAATTCAAGCATGCATTGTCGCCAGGGACGGTTCGACCAACTACTAATTCGAACACTCATTGAGCGATTGTGAGCCGTGAACAGGTACTACGACCTTGACTTTTTAATCATTTTATTATCTGTGTATGAGCTATAAACATATTCAATTTCATCAAAAACAACCACTTCCTTCATGGTGCTTCGATTTTTTTGCAAAAGAGTGTATATTGGCGCGTTTTGAAATTTGCTATATTTGTTGAAAGCGATAAAAACATCAAATATGGTTTAAGGCATTTTGTTTAAAACGATGTGACTTTTTTCCGTTCATCCACCATGTAAAAAGGTAGGTACGATCTTTTTCCGCTCCTACACAATGGAAGGGGAAGGAAAATAGGTTGCCATATATTAAGAAGTTCGCCAAGTGAATTACTCTTGGCGCTAACTGAAAAAATGCCCCAAGTAATATTTTTGAATTTCTCCGTAAATTTCGCACCAAATTTTACAAAATTTAACACTTAGACATAATTTAGGTCGTAGAATCGAAATATGGAAAACAAATTGGTATGTTATTTTAGAAAATGTACGATGTGTCAAAATACCTATGTTAGAGCAATGCTTTATATAAATGTAATATATATCCTAAATCCAGATTTCAAGACATGAAAAACGCCATTTGAATTTCGTCAATCGGCAAAGTAGAACAGGAGATATAGAACTATCCCCCCCTTTTTTTTTCGCAGTGTGCACTAGGCAAAGTATACATACATAGTTTCTGCAAGAAAGGAAAGGAAATTATTATCAAAGTTATCTTGTTGTATAGTGTTATTAGTATAAGATCATTTTTTCGCTAAAAATACTTACAATTAAAACTAAAAAGAATACATCAGATTCTAAAGTAAAATGACAATGTCAATATATATATTTAAAGCATTATTTCTTTAGAACACAGATGTTTCAGAAGAAATGCACTGTCCCGTTTTAGTTTTTAATGCTGAGTATCAATGCAATAAATATTGCTAAGCTTTTTGTATTCATTTATTTAGTTTGCTATTTTTAATAGAATTGTAATTAAATTGTTTCATTTTCTCGTGCAATGCTACACGCGACTTATTTGAAGAGAAACCTACGCCGGAAAAATTAAAAATACAGGAGCATGCGCATTTAATATCTCTAATTGCAAGCTTTTGCTTTTCGGGAAAAATCGAGAAAGTTCTCGTGCATTTTAAAAATCTTATAAAAGCGGATCAAAACACCTCAATTCAGTTGCTCTACGAGTGTGATTCTAAAATTTAGGAAGTGAATGAAATTTATTTATAAATAGTAAGTGTTTTTCGTTGGTCTCTTTCGAGAGGTGTACTTGGAGTAGCTCATCTGGACAAGTTCGTGAGTATATTTTTGATTTCTACGCTTTCATTATGGACATTATCTTGTACATCGATAGGATAGTTTGACTAGGTAAAATGGATGAGATAAATGATTTAGCAGTCCTTAATAAGCGCGATATTGTTGAGAATATTCTTAAAACATGGCACGATTGAGGATTGTAGGCAGATTATGGCTGAGTTTAACTTAGCGTTTAACACGCTTAGAAATGGCTTACGGAAAACCACCCCAGAAATGGAGCAATGGCTCCAAAAAACCTATGCAGAGCTTGAGAAGTGTGTAGCGATTAAACAAGCTGCAGGAGATTCAGTGATACAGAAAATGCAAAATATCTGCGGTAGCATCCCGTTAGTTAATAATGCTAGCAATGATTCGACATCTAATCAAACTACAAAGCAACCCAAACCAGTTTCAAATGTTATTCAGGAAATAAGCAAAATAAATAATTATAATGAAAAATGGATTACACCCAAAAAATACCACAAACGCACACTTAGTGAAAGCAGCAACGGTTCAATGACGTCAACCAAAAATAAATACGCTTCACTAAAAATAGATGATAAAATGGACACTACAAATGTTAGTTCGCTAAACTCACAAGAAGACAGTACTAATAATGTAGGTGATTTCATTACGCCCAACAAAAAGGCTAACAGAATTCCGCCGATTATCATTTCAGATGTCACGGACTGGAAAGCCCTCAGAGATAATATTAAGCAATTTACCATATCCATGGAATGTGTACAGAAAGGTGGTGATATCCACATTAAAGTTAAATTGGACACTGAGTATCGTGAAGTCACGAGATACCTAGACGAAAAGGAAATTCCTTACCATACCTTTCCTCTCCCTCAGGATAAACCGATAAGAGTTGTAATAAAAAAAATTATCTGTTCACACCAAACCCGAGGACATTATGGAAGAACTAATAGACAATAACATCCCCGTTAAAACAGTAAGACAAGTTACCAAGAAAATAGACAATGAAATTGTCAAACTACCCACTTTCATGGTTGAAGTCAAACGCAGCATAGAGAAGGCAAGAAAATATACAACATAACGCATATTCTAGATTTGGACTGTTAAAATTACTCCCTTCAGACCCACTCCAGGACACAAAACAGTGTCACCACTGTCAGAGGTATGGCCACAGTCGTGCTCACTGTAAGCACAAGCCCAGGTGTTTAAAATGCGGGCAAAACCATATTACTACTACATGTGCACAAAAGACAGAAACTTACCCGGCAAATGTTGCCTCTGCGGAGGCCCCCACATTAGTTCGTACCGTGGTTGCGAAATGCATCCGGATAACTTGAAAAGAAAAATTGCAGAAAAAGAAAAAGAATTCCAAAAGAAGCG